GGCCGCAGGGGGACTGGTGTGTGTGGTTATCTCCCTCTTTATTTTCTAAAAAAAAAAAAAAAAAAAAAAAAGATTTTATTTATTCATGAGAGAGAGAGAGGCGCAGAGACATAGGTAGAGGGAAGAGCAGGCTCCATGCAGGGAGCCTGACATGGGACCCAATCCTGGGTCTCCAGGATCGCGCCCCGGGCTAAAGGCAGGCGCTAAACCGCCAAGCCACCCAGGGATTCCCCAATCTCCTCCTCTCTTAGGGGCAGGAATCACTGTGGAATGGTGCTGGCCTCTCTCAGGGTTGCTGGCACACTGCCAGGCTTGTGGCACTGATTTGGATGGGCTTGGGCCTAGGGTATGTTGGAGGTGTTAGATTCACAGGAGGACACGGGGACTGGGCTCCTGATGCCAGCAGGGTGCAAACTGGTCCAGCACCGGTGGGGATCTGCAGCGGACAGGGAAATCTGTGGAGGCCCAACCAGGACAGAGGGGCCAGGGCTGCAGAAGAGTAGGGGTGAGGTGCATGGTGCCAGCAAGGAGGACTCCTATGGAGGCTGGGATAGAGGGGGGACGTGCTGTTAATCAAACCAGGAGGGGAGAGTCCACGTTGCTGGTTCCTGCAGGTGTCAGTGTATCTTGGCTGGGGGGTGGGGACAGAAGTGGCACCCACCAGCTCTTGTTCTTGGAGCATCTCCTAGGGATCCCTGCCCCTGCCACATAGGCTCTGAGAGCAGCAAACAGATAGATGTTCCTCATGTCTACCCCACGTGTTTCAGCCTGCTGCTGCTCAGCTGCTGTGTCTCTGCGAGGCCATTGTGCTGTCTCTCTAAGGGCAGGTTGCAGTTGCCTATCACCCTCCAGCTTTCCCAGAGCTGAGCCACTGATTCTTAAAGTTTCAGGTGCTCAGCCCCACTCATTGTAAGAGATCACAATGTTAGGTGAGTCTGGTTTTCAAAGCCAAATGCTATGGTGACTCCTCTTCCCAGTGCAGGTCCTGGTGTGGGTCAGCGCTTCTTCCTCTCTGCACCTGGTGCATTTCTCCCTCCTGTGGACAGTCCTGAGGGTCCTTTGGGCTCCAGACCGTGTCTCCACCCTTCCTACCCTCTTTGATGTGGCATCTTCTGTACATTTAGCTGTGGTGTGTCTGTTCTGCTAGTCTTTGGGTCCTTTTTCTGGGTTACTTACACTATAGTGGGTTTTACCTAGATGTAACTGTGGGATGAGGTGAGCCTAGGATCCTTTTACTTTGCTGTCTTCCCCAGAAGTAAACTTTAGCATAATTCTTAAAGGCCCAAGGATTTTCGGAATGGTCAGTGAGCATTGGCTTCAACTTAAAGTCACCAACTGCCTTAGTGCCTGCAACACAATCAGCCTATCCTCGGAACCTCTGAAGCCAGGCACGGACTTTTCCTCTCTAAACACACAAGTCCTAGATGACATCTTCTTCCCGTGGGAGGCTCTTTCACCCACACTGGCAATCGGTTGGTAGCCGCCTTCATTAAGGATCTCAGCTAGATCTTCTGGATCATTTGCTGCAGCTCCCACAGCAGCACTTGCTGCATCGCCTGGCACCTTCATGCCATGGACACAGCTTCCTTCCTTATACCTCATGAACCAGTCTCTACTAGCCTCAGACTTGACTTCTGCAGCTTCCTTCCCTCTCTCAGCCTTCATGGGATTGAACAGAGTCAGGACCTTGCTCTGGGTGAGGCTTTGGTTGAAGGGAACTTTGCAGTTGGTTTGACCTTTTACCCACTAAACGTTTTCCATTATCAGCAATAAAGCTATTTCACTTTCCTATCAATTGTGTATTTGCTATGCATGTGTAATTTCCTTCAGAAACCACCTTCGTATTCAGAACTTGGCTGTTTAACACAAGAAGCCTAGCTTTTTGGCCCATCTCGGCTTTCAACATGCCTTCCTTTTGCTGGAACACATAGAGGCCACTGTAGGGTCAGTACTGTCTTGTTTCTGGGAATGGGCCCAAAGAGAGGGGGAGAGACAGGGATTAAGTTGGCCGTCTACATAGGCACGGCTTGTGGTGCCCAAAACATTACAATAATAGAACCAAAGATGACTGGTCACAGATCCCCATAGTCAATAATAGTAATAAGAAATTGAAGGGATCCCTGGGTGGCGCAGCGGTTTGGCGCCTGCCTTTGGCCCAGGGCGCGATCCTGGAGACCCGGGATCGAATCCCACATCGGGCTCCCGGTGCATGGAGCCTGCTTCTCTCTCTGCCTGTGTCTCTGCCTCTCTCTCTCTCTCTGCGACTATCATAAATAAATAAATAAATAAATAAATAAATAAATAAATAAATAAATAAATAAATAAATAAATAAATAAATAATTAAAAAAAAGAAATTGAAGAAATTATGAGAATTGTGACACAGACCTGAAGTACAAGTTTGGTTAGGAAGGTGGTGCCAGGAGACTTGCCAACACAGGGTTGTCACCAGCCTTCAGTCTATGAAACACCCAGGGTCTGTGCAGCACAGTAAGATGAGGGTGTCTCCTGTGCTCTGGCCTCCACTATCGCCCGTGACATGTCAGGAGCCATTAATCCTGTACCCGTTCTGTGATAAGCAGTTGTCCCCTTGCTGTTCTCCATGGGTTCTCTTCCTCTGGCCTTCAGTGCTCGGGCTGGGGCATGTCTGATATGTCTCTGTATATGCATCCCACCTTGGTTGGCTGTGTGTTGGCTCTGGAGACTAATGCTTTCATCAGATTTGGGAAGTTTGGGGCCTTTATTTCTCCTGAAACTTTTTTGTTTTTCTCTTTTGCCCCCCCCCCCCCCCCGTTACACATGTATATTATTCCGCTCGTTGATGCCCCATTGGTCGCTCAGGCTCAGTTCACTTTTCTTTATCTCTTTAAGTTTTTTCAGGAAACTGAATAGTTTGTATTGATGTATCTTCAGCTTCTCCGATTTTTTTTTGCCATGTCAGATCTGTTGCTGACCTCCTTTTTACAGTTTCTGTTAATTGAAACCCTAGGTTCAGCTGTGTTCTTAGAGTTGCCTTGAAGTCTTGGCCACATCTCACAGTGGGTGCCTCTTAGGCAGTTTCTTTTCCTTTTTCAAAAGTGTGGGTCACACTTCCTTGTTTCTTTGAAAGTCTCTGATTTTGTGTTGAATACCGAATATTTTAGTTAATAAGTTATAACAGCTCTGGATTCTGAATTTATTTTTCCTTCCCTGAGAGTAGTGATGGTTATGATTTAATTTCTTGGGTTTTATTTAGTAAGTGCGTTGGTCTGAATCTGAAGGCTGTTTTCCACATGCTGTGTGGTTGCTGATGCCTCAGCTCAGTTATTTCTCCCTGTTCTTACTGTTTTTGGCTTTCCAGAGGCCACCCCTGCCTGTCCACCCAGCACAGATGTGTTGGAGGTTGTGCTCAAATGCATCAAGATTGCACAGCCTGTGCTGTCTGTTCACAAGTATGTGTGGGTTTGGAGTGCATTCAGCTTGCAGGCTGTGGTCAGGTCTGCCCTGGCTCAGTGTCCTTGGACTCCTGTGAGTCCTGCACTTGCAGGGGGCTCTGTCATTGTCTGGGTTGTGGGGTGGACTTGCTCTTGCCCTATTGCTTGCCTGCAGAGGACCACGGCTCGGGCTGGCTGTACTGTCCCTTGCTGGATCATGTCTCTGAATGATCATGTTCTAAATTGAGCAGCTCCTTCTGGCAGGAGCAGTGAAGCTGCAGGTTTTCACGGCCTCTCTCCCCTGGTCCAACTAGCTGTCAGCAGGGATTGAATGAGAGCAGCCTGTATAAGACGCCCAGGCTGGTGCTGTTCTTACTGGACTTTGATAGAGCGTACTAGTAAGGCTCCATAGTTTGTGATAAGCCTTTGGTCACTTCCTAGAGGGCTGACATGATTTTTTAGAGTTTTGTCCAGTTTCAGGGATGGGAGCTGGTCGACCTCATTGTGCATGTGGAAGGGACTCCCGGACTCATTGCTAATGCTGTGTGGAGCGTCACCTGGCAACTGGGCAGACAGGAGGGGCCAGGCAGTAGGAGTCACAGATGCCCAGCTGAGGTCCTGCACTGGGAAGTGGTATCGGGGACAGAGTGAACAGGTGTCAGCAGGGTCTGCATGGGGTGGTTTTTCAAAATGAGCTTGGCACGTGTATGTTTCAAACTTATAATGGGGGGGGGGGAAGCACAGTTGCAGAGCTGCCAGCAATGCTGTGGAGTCATGACTAGAAGTGGCTGAGAGCTAGGGGCAGTGCTGCTGTGCTCTCCATAGGGCACTGGGCATGCCCGATTGAGAAGACACCAGTAACTCTACAATGTACTTCAAACCCAGCGAGGGCAGGTCTGATGATGTTTGGGAAGACAGTGATGGTTTTGCAGCTGGGCAGTGGGTACCTGGGGTTTGTTGTCATACCGTTTTCTCTTCTTGGGTGTGAGCCGGAAAGCTGTCCTGACTGAAAGGTAGGGAAAAGAAGTAGCCACGAATAACCAGTTTCCTCGGAGCAAGAGCTAGGTGAGAAGTAGAGCAAGATTTGGAAAAATGCAGCAGGAGTGCTGAGCAGATTGTGATCTTGTATTTATGGTGGAGGGCTTACCACCAGCTGTGTATGAGGGAACCTAGGATGACCGTGTGTTTCTGCCTGGAAAACTTGAGAGAATCTTACAAGCTAGTGAGAGAGAAGATGCATGTGTGGAAACCAGTAGTCAACTTCTGCAGAGGCCACATCAACTGAACAGTGTGGGGAGAGACTCCCTCAAAAGAGCCATCACAAGTACGCACTGTCTGGAAATACCTTGGTTTCAGAAGGTGGGGTCCACCCGCTGTCAGACTTCCTGAACAACGTGGAGATTCCGTCACAGGGATGGGACGCTGGTTGTCCTCAAATAAGTTGACAGTTTTTTGGATCTCTACCAGAAGATACTAAACTTCATTGAGTTGCCAATGAGAAGACTGTGTAATCAACATCTTCATGGGGTGAGTGAGGTCCGTGAGCTGGTGCGGCAGTTGGCCTGATGCATGTCCCCTCTGTGTTGCAGTTGGGGCGGTGCCGGTTCTCTCCAGGGACACTGCGTCGGGGAAGAAGGGCCACCACTTCAGCCAGGTGAAGTCCCCACACAACCCCTTGGACTCCAGCGCCCCGCTGATGAAGAAGGGGAAGCAGAGGGAGGTCCCCAAGGCCAAGAAGCCAACCTCGTTGAAGAAGGTATGTGCTATTCCCCTCGAAACTGGGTGCTAGGAAACCTGTGGGCTCTCCTGTGTCTGTTATCTCTTACGGCTCTCCACATGTTTACCTGAATGTGCTCTACCAGGTGTGTGCGTGATTCTCTGACACATGGTCCTCTCCCTGAGTGGGACGGCAGAGGGTACGAGGCAGGGTGTCTCTGCTGTAGAGGCAGGGCTCTTTGTTCTCCAGTGATGCAGACAGAGCCAGGGATGGGGGGTTGCCTTCTACTTGTTCACACTCTGCTGCCCTCATCCTCCCTTGGGTGATCTGTCTGGTGTTGAGATTCTTGAGTGTGGGTTCTGCAGGGGCTGTCGCAGCCTGTGGTGTCTGGCCCGGGTCCTGCATACCCTGCTCTGCACACTTGGGGGACATGTGTCCCAGCCTCTTGGGGGATGGAGGGCATGTCGCTGCTGTGGGAACGCAAAAAGGCATGATGCCTGCAAGCTGAAATTGGGTGGTTTATTTTGCAAAAGAGCTTATTTTTAACATAAGTATTTAGGTGTTTCAATTGCTTATTTAATTTTAAAGATCATTTTGAAAGAACGGCAGGAGAGAAAGCAGCAGCGTCTCCAAGAAAATGCTGTGAGCCCAGCTCCTGCCAGTGACGCTGTGCCGGACGGGGAGAGCGGCGGTGACGATGAGGCCTTCGAGCAGGTTGACCCCTCAGGTACTGAGCGCTTGTGCTGGCTGCCCAGAGGACCGTGCAGTGACTTGACAGGAAAGGGCATCCCAGTGGGCGGGTAGAGCTCCTGATGCCTGTGCCTCTGTGTTGGGTGTGGGGACATGTCAAGGGACAGGGGGCGAGGCCCCGAGTGCAATCTGTGTGGCATTGGGTGGTCCTTATAGCTTGAAGTTGCCGTGAGAGTGAATGCCCCTGACTTCAGAGCTGCTTCCCCCGCATGAGAGTCAGGTCTCATAGATAGAACATGTTAGGAAGCCTTTTATTGAGCTGTGTGTTCAGAACAGTCTCCCAGATGATTGGTGTGTGGCTGGAGGACGTCTCATACAGTGAGTACCACACCCAGCTCAGAAGCAGGACAGCCCCCCTGCCCTCTGGCCCAGGGCCACAGCCCTGACCTCATTCTAGTGGGATCTTGCAGCCTGTGCCTGCACCCAGCCGTGTGTCTGTGGCCTGTAGGAGTGGGTTCTGATTGTCATTGCTGCATGGCATTCAGGCATGTTCACGTGCCAGCTGGCAGGTGGACGTTCTGGGAGTTCCCTCTTGGGGTCAGTAGAAGTAGGTCAGCGTGCGCGCAGGACGTAAGCACTCTCTCCTGTGGCATGTGCCAGGTGGGACTGTGGGCTCCAGGGGTCGGTCCACTGCCGTCTGCCCTCAGGCTTCCACCAGATAGGCTTCCAGGTGTTCCAGCAGGTCTGCCCACAGGTGGGGGAGAAGTCAGCCCACAGGAGGCTGTCTTTGTCACCTTTGCCCTCCTGGCGGGTAGTTTCTCTCTCCGGTGCTGTTATCTCACTTGTCCTGGAAGTAATTTGGGAACTGTGAGCTTGAAGCTCATAGTTTAGGTGTTTGGGTTCAGATGTTTTTTATATTTGTTTGCTAAAAGAATGAATTCAACCATCGTATGAAGAATTGGGAATGCTAAAACTGTTCTTAAAACTTCCCATTATGAATTTCAGGTTAAATTTCAAAATTAAAAACCAGTTTTGGCAGCCAAACTGTATATTTAATAATGGTCAGGATGGTATATTTTATGAATATTTTGCCACAGTAAATACCAGCTTAAGTCGGGGTCAGAGGCACCTCCAGGCAGAGTAGAAAGTCGCCAAGTCCTTCTGCGTCCCCCAGCTGTTCCCATCTCTCATGGCTCTGCCACCCGCCATGGTACCGGGAAGGGGGGGCTGCCCTGGATTTGCTGCCCCATGAGGTGTGCACAGGTGGCCTCCATCCTCGACCTGAGTGCCCAGTCCTGCAGGTGCTGTGCCCTGACTTGTGTCTCTGTGAAGTTTCAGAGGGACCGGAGGAGGTGCTGTCCTCTGCTCCCGCAGTGGAGAGCGGGTCAGAAGAGCCGCCGAGAGCTGAGCTCCAGAAGGAGGCGGAGGGCTGCCACCTGGTGCCCAATGGCGCCAGCTGCCCCAAGATCCACAGCCGGAGATTCAGGGAGTGAGTGGCTGTGGTGCTGTGCCCCCTGTGGGGATGGGACGGATGTGCTCACTGTGATGTTGAGCGTGGGGCCCTGCTGCCCTGGTGCACTCAGACTGCCGAGCTAGGCCCCAGCCTTCATCCTTGTCGTAGCCCAGGGCAAGGCCACCTAATCTGCTTCTGCAGGATCCTTGCCCTACACACGTGGTATGGGAGGTGCACTTCAATGGACTTGTGTGTTGGGGGGTGGGCTCCCTTTTGAGGTAAATGTCTGTAATTTCTGAGGGAACTCTGTCTCTCCCATCCCACGTTTCTCCCAGGGCACACCCCACGTGTGGGTTCTCATGGGCAGTAGCTGCCACGGGGTGTGTGGCGGGCCATCAGGGGAAGCCGGGTGTAGAGGTGAGCCCCAGCTCTTGGGCACGGGCTGCTCAGTGCTATGATTCCCGAGAGGGCTGCCGCCAGTGGGAACCTTGTTTCAGCTACTGCAGCCAGATGCTGAGCAAGGAGGTGGATGCTTGTGTCACGGATCTGCTGAAGGAGCTGGTGCGATTCCAAGACCGCATGTACCAGAAGGATCCGGTCAAGGCTAAGACCAAACGCCGACTCGTGCTGGGGCTGCGGGAGGTCCTCAAGCATCTGAAGCTCAGGAAGCTCAAATGCATCATCATCTCTCCCAACTGTGAGAAGATCCAGTCGAAAGGTAACAAGGGCTGTGGGCCCGGTTGCTAGGGCTGGTTTGGTTCTCTCCTCTCTGACTGAGGGCCGTGTTTGCAGCGTTCACTTGGCCACCCGGTGTCCTGCTCTCTGAGGCAGCCAGGCCCCTGTGCGCTCCGGCCCATGCAGGCCTCTGGTGGCTGGGACGCTGTGCCTCTTTTGGGGGGCGTGGGGGGCCCTGGAGGCCGTGCTGCAGGAAGTCTGTGAGTGGCAGCCAGGCAGTCCGTTTTGAACTTACTTGCTATGTCTGTGACCCCACTCCTCTGTCCACTGATTTAAGGATGCGGTTTGTCCAGGGGCTTGGCCATCTTACTGGCCCTGGAAAGTTGGCTGTGTCTCATGGGATGCAGTGGGCTGGGTGAGGTGATGCACAGACTCAGGCTGTGACGTGTCCCCTGTGGCCCTCCTCGGGCTGTATGTTAGGGGGATGCTGGTCCTGTGTCCTCCTCTGCCAAGGGGACCAAGGGAGCCTGCGGAGCATGTGGAGTCCTTCACTGGGCACCTTCTTCTCCCATATTGCACAGGTTACCTTGCAGGGAACAGGTTTGGATCCTGCCCTGGGCTTTTCTGGCTGCCGTTTCGCAGCTAAAGACTTGAGGTTTCCTGGCTTGTGTTGGGCACCCAGGGTCCAAGAGCAGTAGCTAGACCTGCTTGTTGCCCGCTCACCGTGTCCTGGTCCTAGCTGAGGGTGGGCCTCAACACCGGAATGGGACAGAAGGGGGCTTCAGGCACCTGCCATTTGGTTGTGTGTTGGCTGCGCCCCTCACTTGGGTCCAGTCACAGCGCTGGGCTAGAACACCAAGCAGCCCTTAAGCTCCTGCCTGCAGCCTGAGCCTCCTCTAAGACAGGATGCCTGGGGCATTCCACAGCTTCACCTGGGCTCCTTGGGGGCTCTCTGCACCTCTCTGCAGCCATCTTCCTGGGGTTGCCCTTCCCTGGCCCCCCTGGCGTGTGGGGGTACTGGTGCCTGCTTGTGTGCTTCTCAGGGGCACCCTGTTTGCCCTGAGCGTGTTCCCCGGGGGCTCATGAAAAGGCAGGTGCAGGGGTGCATCCAGGAACCAGGACTCAGAGCCCAGTCTGCTGGCTCTCCAGAGGCCTGCTCTCCTTCACCCGCTCTCCATTGTCCTTCCCTCCTCCCTGGGAGGATGGTGGGTAGCACACAGACCCCCACTTGTACACCTGCATGCAGGGCCCCTTTGCTGCCCTTCTGGAGCATACCGCACCAAGCAGTGTCTTCTGCGCCGCCATCTTCTCAGCCTTTCCTTGGTTCTGTTTTCTGCCCTACAGAACGGCATCTTCCTCACCTGCGTCTTCTAAACCATGGCAAAGTTTTCCATTTCTGACTTTCGGGAGCTGTGTTTGTTGTCCTGAAGTCTCTGTGTTGCCACTGCTGCTACTTTGGAGCTGGGTCCATGCCCTGAGCTGTGTGTGGAGAAGATGTAAGGGTGTGCAGCTCCTGCCCCTCAAGAGCCTTCCTGGCTGCTGCTTTGCCGTTTGGGTCTCTGGCTAGATGGTTCTGCAGATGGCCAGTGGCTCCTGGGCACCTGTGTCCTCAGCTGCCAGGAAGCTAGCGAGGCTGGCATGTAGAGGCCAGGAGCTGCGTTGTAGGGCATTGCTTCTCCAGCTAGTGAATGTGAGCATCACCCTGACTCCCTGCCAGAGCAGGGCCCCTGGACCCCAGAATTGAGCATTTTGAGCATGTTTTTCAAAGATGCTGCTACTCCAGGGTCCCCACTCTTGGCTGACCAGTGGGGCCGCGGTTGTGCTGGAGAGCCCCCGAGGGCATGTCTCTGAGTCCCCTGGGCAAGATGCTCCCCCTGGTGTGGGGCCCCAGCATCCACCCTGAGTCCGTCCTCACATTTGCCCCTAGAAGCGCAGCTTCCGGCATTGCCTGGGTGACGCACGCCAGCTTGCCGTCACCTTTCAGAGCTTTGCTCCATTTGGAAGGTGCCCAGTGTTGCTTGTAGCCGCCAAGCTCCAGGGAATTGGTGCTAGGCTGTAGATGGCCAGCTCCAGGCTCCCCGCGCTGGCCTCACTGGCCGGTTGGCTGGCTCAGTTGTCTTTCCATTAGAGCTTCCTGCTCTGGTCTCGAATTCTCCTGTGATTTGTGTCCTTAAAAAACAGACTAAGAAAATGGGTATGTGTGTGCAGTGGGCGGTCCACCGTGCCTTTCTCGTGAGCTGCCTTCCTTCCTCTGACCGGGCACTGGGGTGGGGTCAGGCCTGGCCAACAGGCGTCTGCATTGGTTGCACGTTCAGATACGCTGTTCGTCATCAGTTCTTAGGGGTATTTCTGCTTTGAGGCCAAAGCAGCTTGATTATTATACCTCATAAATGTTTTCTTCTTAAAAGAGTTAGGCAGTGGCTTGCAGTCATTTTAAAGGAAAAACTTAGTATCGTGGCCTCTTGGACTGTGTGAAAGTACTGCGTCTGCTCAGGTTGGTCTTCCCCCTAGTGCTTCAGAAGTTGAATTTCAAACAGCAGTTGTCCTGAGCATTTGCTTGTTCTAAGTTGTGTCGTCGTCTGAATCCTGGGAAGCTGGCCCTTGGAGTTGCTCTCAGCTCTCCCTGATAATTCAGGCTAGGTGTTGGGTGGAGCAGAACTATCTAGCCTTGCCGCCGTGTCAGACAGACCCAGCCTTCCAGTCTCTCCCAGGGGAGTCACTCGGGATGCATGTGTGGAGAGTCGTCTGCCTGGGAAGCTCCTAGGGCATCATGCCCAGGTCTTCTGTGGGGGGGCTGGTCACGTGGGCACCCCCTGCCTGACCCGACTGGTAATCAGCATGAACCTTGTCATTGCCACCCTGAAGCTCCTCTGACCAGCTAGCATGGTGGGAGCCCTCTGGAAACCCAGGCCCTGGTGCCAGCCTGGGGAGACAGCACAGCAAAGCATTTGTGACCAGCTCTGAGGGTGGGGGACATGAGGTGGAGAGAGACCACGTGGCCGACCCCCAGGGGCACAGGAGTCTCCAGCGGGAAGTTGGGAAAGAGTCGCTGTGATTCTAGTCAAGGACCCCACCCTGCCCACATCCCCCTCTGCCCGCTTCCCTGCCAACCCGGGAGTGCGGCTTTCCTTGAACATCTCTCTCCCCAGAGCTAACTTCCTCCTCACATCCTCTTGTCTTCAGGAGGATCTGGGCCAGGGGGTGGGCAGAATTAATGGATGTGGGCCCTGAATGTTAACTCTGATCCAGCCAGCTGCAGAGTGAGTTCTCAGTTCCCAGAGCAGTGGCCCATGCTTTTGAGAAGTTCCTCTCTTGAAAGAAAATTGGATAATCCTGTAACTAGTGCCAGGTGATAGGGGCCACAGGGAGACATTTCCTTCTCAGGCACGTGCTGGGGCAGGCCATGCCACCTGGTGAGCCAGATGCTGGGTTTCATTTTGAGGAATAAGTCCCCCAGATTCCTGCAGCCCCCCCCCCCCCAGAGGCAACCAGCATTGCCACATTCGATGTGTCCTTGGTAAGGCAGGGTGTGTGTGTGAGAGAGAGACAGAGGGAGGTCTGGCACCCTGGCCCTTTGGCCCTTGTTTTTAGCTTTGTGGTTAGTCTGGGGGTCCAGCTCTTAGCATCGTGCACAGACTCTGCACAGTTCTCTCCAGATGCCAACAGCTATGAATAAGGATGCATCTTGCACCCTGTCCTTTCTGCTTGTGGGAACGTGTCCGTGGCTTCCACACTGAGGGCGTGAGGGCGGGTGTATTTGTGGGTTGCATGGGTTCCGCACCTCCGCCTGCACCCAGAGCCGGTTGTGCCCGTGCCCGGCCCTTCCTTCTGTGGAGTGTGTGTGCTTGGGGGTGGGGTGGGGGGGGGGTGTTGAGCAGCTGCCTACTTATTAAAGGACTTGGTGGTTCATGTTCTTTGCCCATTGTCTTTTGGGATGTTGATCTTTTTAATAGTGACTTGTGCTTTTTTATATAATAAAGCTTTTTGGGTAAGAGTTGTAAATGTTTCTCTGGTTTGTCATTTTCGTATTTTTTAAATGTATTTTGGGTGTTGTTATGATAATAACGTTTTCTGTTTTTGTGTTTTTATTACATTTTAGGTTTTATGCCATTCTTTCACCTTAACACTCCAAGGTTATTGTAGGTTTGTGGTTTTTGGTTTTTTTTGTTTTTGTTTTTCCTGGTTCTTCCATGGTTTCATTTTTGTTTAGGAAGAACATATTCTTTCTCAGGTGGGTCTTTCCAGAGGCCGAGCCAGGTGTCCTTTCTGTACTGCTTCACAGCGCTCTTCCCGGCTGCTCAGATTGCACACGACAGCAGCACTTGGGGGCCTCTGGTCTGCCACTCCGCGTCGCTGCTTTTATGTCTTGTGGCTTTGAGCAGCTCTTGTGCCTGGTGATGCTAGCCAGGTATTATTTTCCTTCTTTATTTATGTATGTATGTATGTATGTATGTATGTATGTATTTTTATTTAGCTTTTATTTATTTTAAAGATTTTACTTATTTATTCATGAGCGACATGGAGAGAAAGAGAGAGAGTCAGAGACACAGGCAGAGGGAGAAGCAGGCTCCATGCAGGGAGCCCGATGTGGGACTTGATCCCAGGACTCTAGGATCACACCCTGGGCTGAAGGCAGGCACCAAACTGCTAAGCCACCCAGGGATCCCTATTTTCTTTTTCAAAGGCTTGTTCTCATATGTATATTTTTTCATATTCTTTATTCCTCAAAAAAATCCCAGTTGTAGTAAGTATTTCAGAGTGTTAGGTTAGCACAGAATTGGTGTGTTGTGGCTGAGAGCACAGGTGCCTTCCTGTAGATGTTCTCTTGTGCTTCTGGAGCACCTTGAGGCTGCTCAGTAAATCTTTCATACTTGGTGATAAATCTGTTCCTGCCTGTGGTGATGTCTGGTGGCTGTCCATACCTGTCCTGGGTGGCTCCACTTGCCTGTGTGAGGACTCGTGATTTCTGCGTGACTTGTACACAGACGCCCGTATGTACTTCTCTCATGGTAAAGATTCACATTGCCTGCACACAGAGCCCCATGGCCCTTCTCCCCGTGCATGGACCCTGCCTGGCACCTTGCTTGGCAGTAGGGCAGGTGGTGGAGGTCAGGGAGCCCACAGCTGGGCTCTGTCACATACTTGGTGACCTGTGTGTGCTCTGGGGTTCCATTGTGTGGGTGCAGCCTCTCTCCTGCCGGGTGTGTGCACACAGGAGCTAACACGCACGAGGCGCTTAGCTAGCAGCCTGGCGCACACTGAGTATTCAGGAAATAGTCACCTCATGCAATGTTGTGATTTGTAAGAAATACCTATTTGGTTGTTCAGATGACCGAAATAGACTCTACTTCCTATCTAGTCTTTGTCCTTGGTTTCTGGCTCACACCTTGGAATACCTGTGTTAACTTCAGTAAAGGTGTCATGTTAATGAAGGTGGACTTTGGGCAGGGGCTGGTTGCCAGAGAGTCACCCAAGTAATTGGGGAGGTTGGAACCTTTGTCCCCATCCCACCCCTACCCTTGGCCTGCAGGGAGGGGAGGAGCTGGAGGTCGACTCAGTCCATTGTGACCATGTGGTGAAGCATCCATAGAACTCCCCCACCCCCACCCTGCTGGGTTAGGAGAACCTCCTGGTCAGTGCACAGGAGATGATGCCGGAGTAGTTGGCACACCTGTAGCAGGCAGGGAAGCTCCGCACCTTCTCTGTACCTGCCCTGTGTACATCTCTGCTCCAGCTGGTGATCGGAACTCATGTCACATCCTTTCATAAATTGGAAAAAACAGAAGTTAAGTGACTCCCTGAATGGAGTTCTTTGTATCTCTAGCAAATGGAAAGAATGTAAGGAAAGAGTGTTGGGGTTGCAGTGTGTATTATGTTGGGGACGTTTCTCCCGGAGAGTTGATATCCTCCTTGCAGCTGAGAATAACCATGCACTTGCGGTGGCAGGCTTGTCCTGGTGGCATCTGGCACAGGCCCACGAGTAAACGAAGTAGCTGGGGGTATTGCCTTCTGTAGAAAAAAGCCCTTTCCGGCCAGTGTCACCACCCCGCTGCATTTGACGCATTTCCCTGTTCTGCTGTCCCTGACCAGGTGGGCTGGATGACACGCTGCACACCATCATTGATTACGCCTGTGAGCAGAACATTCCCTTTGTGTTTGCACTCAACCGCAAGGCTCTGGGGCGCAGTTTGAACAAGGCTGTCCCTGTCAGTGTGGTGGGCATCTTCAGCTACGATGGGGCCCAGGTGAGTGGGGGGGCGGGGTTCTTTGGGGGTGGGGGTGGAGCAGAGGCCTGGGCTTGTAGGCACATTCCCATGGGGCAGCCCTGAGCCCGAGGGTGGTGGTGCGATCCTGAGTCTGCTCTGTGCTCACTGCTGTCCCAGAGGTACCTCGGGCAGGCAGCATCCATGCCGGGTGTCCCCCTGCTCCCCCCGAGGGCAGCGTCCCCGGTGGGTCAGGGGTGTCACCTCTGCTCTCACCTCTGCCCCAGGACCAGTTCCACAGGATGGTCGAGCTGACGATGGCTGCGCGGCAGGCCTACAAGACCATGTTGGAGAACGTGCGCCAGGAGTTGGCCGGGGAACCTGGGACCCCAGCTCTGGCCAATCCGCCCATGCAGGGTCCTGGCTGCTCCACGCAGGACAGCCCCCCTGCTCCTACAGCCGAGAAAGAAGAGCCCCATTACAGTGAGTGCCGGGGAGGGACTGCATCAGCTGACAGAAGGGACAGAGTGCCTGGATGGCCTCTTCCTGGCAGCGCCCCCTGGAGAAAGCCGGGTTGGTCCTGGCTGTTGTCTTAAGAGCTGGTGTCAAGACCTCGGGTTAGATGGCACCTGCAGAGTGTAGCCTAGATGACAGCGGTGTCCCTGGCGGGAGGCCGTCAAACCCACCAGACACCAAGGGCTCATGGGTACTGCTCCCAGAGTGTGGCTGTGAATGGGGGCGGCTGGGCTGAGTCCTTGCCAGGCCCACGTAGGGCTGAGCCACGGGTGGCACGCTTCGGACAGTAGAGACTGTCCCGACCATCCCTGTATGTCCCTCAGCTGTGCCACTTTGTTGTTTCCAGTTGAAATCTGGAGGAGACACCTGGAAGCATACAGTCGCTGTGCCCTGGAGCTGGAAGACTCACTGGAGGCTTCAACCTCTCAGATGATGAACCTGAACTTATAGGAAGAATTCTGTGTGTGTGTCGTGTGGGGTAAGGAGGGGGGGGTGTGACAGACTCCGGGGCCTTTTTCTTCCCAGGTTTTCACTGACCTGATGTATTCTATTCTGTGTGGCTGATAACTGGGAGGGGGTCCAGGGTGTGCCTCCTGGAATGGATGCTCAGGTGGCTGGCAGGAGCCTTGCCAGAGAGCCCTGAGACACAGCTTTGGATGTAAGCGTACGTTGTCTGGGAAGACTGCAACGTGTGGTGCCCTGAGTCTGCTGTGAAGGAAACCCCCTCTGATGCGGAAAAGCCGAGCTGGGTTAGTTTGTGGCAGCCACTGCAGGCCGCAGCCCTGGGGCTGGTGTTCTTGCCTGAGGACCCAGCACAGCCGCAGAGAAGCCAGCAGGCGGGTGTGGTGGGGCCACTTTTGGGGTGGGGGGGCTTTCTCGGGACCTGGTTCTTCGGCTGGAAGATTTGGGGGTACTTGGAATGTCTGCTAAAATGAGCCTCACTCAGAAGGAAAATCAGTTCTCTAACCTGTGACCTTTTGACATGAATTATTCCTTTTTGTCTTTATTTTTCAAAGAAGCAATGTATATTGAAGTCCTAAATTTCTATAGGCTTTTTTGTAAATGAACTTATTCTTTGAATGTGGTTTCTGTCTTGGAGGCCAGCAGGATAGAAGTTTGCTTTCATACTTTGCTGTAAGTAAGAGGGCTTATTTATTTTGAATAAAGAGCAATGATTTGATCTCCCCGTGGCCAGAGCTTAGGCTTATGGGTGGTTCCTCAGCCCTGGTCCGCACTCCTCGGGGGCTGTTGCTTGAAGGGAAGAGGATGGAACCTGGGGAGAGGTTTGCTGAGGGGACCTTGCCTCGGCCCCATCTGCCCCCTGTGCCGTCACAGAGCTGACGGCAGGATGGAGCTTTATTGTTGGCCATTTCTCAGAAGGGCGGCAGAGTGCGTTGGCTTTGCGGGTGGTGTGAGGGGAAGTCGGTCGTGTCAAGTGTTACACGTCTGGCAGGCCAGTGGCCTGTGAGGAGTGCACTGAAGTGACGTCACAAAAGGCATGTGGTGTTGCCAGGGCTGGCGGGGTGTGGAAGCACCGGTATGTCCTGTCGTCTGGATGCTTGCTGACCCTAGGTGCCTGCTTCTCTGCTCTCTGAGCCTGTAAGTGGGGGGCATGTGACGTGGTCACCCAGGCCAAGTCCCACCCCCAGGCTGCTCCCTCGGTGGGGTGGAGAGGAGGGGCACGAGGGAGGGCTTTTCCCCTGCTGTGTCAGTAGGGGCCAAGTCTGCTCTTGTAGGTTTCAAAATTGGATATTATGGGAGAGGTAAGGTTCCAGAGTTAACCTAAAAGGAGAAAATCAAATGTACAACTCTGAGCAGGATATGCCGGCCTCTGTTGAGCGCCCCAGCCCTGGCCCGTGGCTTGCACAGAGCTCATCTGGGGGCAGAGAAGCCGAAGCAGAGTGGGGAGGCGTGAACACGGCGTCAGCCCCAGGGGGCCAGCGTCTCCTGTGACCTCCTGTGGGGTTAGCCAAGCTGCAGTGTCCCTTTCACAGCAGAGGCTCCTGCTGCTGGTGAGATGGGGCCCTGTTGTGGCCAATGCTGCGGGAAGCACACGCCGCCAGGCCTCCCAACCACACACTCAGCTCACTGTGTTTATTTCCATTTATTTTTTCAACAGAGCAGAGACCCCGAACTCCTAAGCACGGGTTCCCCCCAGAACCCTCCCTGCTAGGCTAAGCACACATCTCATTGTGGTGCTGCATGAGGTACTCTGAGCCCGCCAACTCAGGCCAAGTCTCAGGGCTCTGGAAAGCAGCACCAAGGAGGACACAGGCCTCTGAGCCCTTCTGTCAGGGGCACCACGCATGATGGCCTGGGAACCAGGTGGGCAGGCATCCCAGGCAGACCCCACCCCAAGCCGGTGTCCTCAGGAGGCTGTGCTCTCCGATGTCCCCGGCCTCAGAACGAAGGAGTCTGGACACAGGCTGTGGTCATCCATTTGCTGGGGTTGCACAGAGGTTGTGGTGTCTTGGTGGACTGGCATTCTGCTAACCATTCCAGCAGCAGAAAGTGTCTGGAGGGTCCAGGCTGTGCAGTATCAGGCTTTCACATCCCGCACACACAGTGTGCCTGCAGGTGCAGCTCCAGGACACAGGCCCCTCCCCGTGGCACCGCTGCACATAAGCTCAGGGTGTGCACAGAGCCCCGTAGAGCAGCCCCCACACTCTGAGATGTGCTCGGAAGCCTGTGAATCCTACAGTCCCTGTGAGCTCCAGGAGACCTTGTTGTCACTTGAACGATCAGGCCAGATATTGCCACTGGTGTTGCTGGGCCTGTCCTGGCAGTGGGAGCTCCGTGGCCATGTGTGAAGGAGGGAGTGGCAGCAGGCGTGGGGGGTGGCCATGAACCCGTAGAGCTGCTGCAGGGCTCCAGGGGTGGCCATGCTGTACAGGAAACCACTCGGGTGTTTCTGGAAGACGAGCCGTCATGCACACCATTGTCTACATAACTTCAATCTATAGGTAGTTAACTGTCCTGCTGTCCTGTTTCTGCCGGGCTGACTCTTCTGTCTCATGTAAGCACCTAAGTTTTTAGAACGTTTTGGCTAGTGTCACAGAGGTTGAGGTGGGGCCACCTCTCCGCAGGCCAGATGACTGTTCACTGTCCTGGAGCCATGGCAGGGTCAGGGGTGTGGCTAGGGGTGGGCACCACCACCTGGTGCCTAGAAGGTATCCTTGTCACAGCTTTCCTGAAACAACAGTGCAACCCGTCTTTGAATTCCCGGCAGAAGAGAGGCCCATCCTGCTTCCCCCTCACTGTCCTCGATGTAGGAAGGGGCCTCAAGCGTCACACCCCATGTGCTCCCCCTTGGGGTCAAGGGGGCGGCCTTCAGGGAGGGGCCCTGCATGTTCTATGTTTGAAGGGATGAGTCAGAAACGCTTAGCCTGTGTTGGCAACAGGGAGAGGTCGTGGGTGGCCACGAAACCCAGGACATTTGAAGGCCGGTGGTTGAGCTGTAGGGCTTCTTCCTGGCCTGGTAGCTGCCCAGATGGCTGCAGCAATGAGGGCGGGGGACGCCTGTCCTCCCCCCCCTTGGTGCTGGGATGGGGCTCCCTGCAGGCCCAGCAGTCACCTCCCCACAAGTGGGGCCCCCAGACTTGTCTCCATGAGTGCCCCCTCCCATTCTGTTGATGTTCCTCAGGGCTCTGCCTGGAGCTCTGAGGCTGCAGGTTCCAGAAAGAACTGTTCAGCAGACCAAACCCCAAGGCAGTGGACGCCCACCAGCCCTTGCCCACCCCCAGCCCGGCCACGTACCCACGCCTTCCTCCAGCTGCGCATCATGCGGTCATGCTCCCCGGCGACAGCCCTCCACGCGGCGAGCTCTCTGGTCCACTGCTCCTGGTGGGTTGCTTCTGCAAGACAAAGGGGACACCAGGTGTCAGGTTTGCAGGCCTTGATGGCACCCTGGGTACGTACCATCCACTGAGGCCATTCCAAGGAGTGTTGACACCTCCCAGCCTTGCCTTCCTGGCTGGAGGGGCTTCCCCAGGTCGTCCCTGGCTGCCAGCTCCAGTTAGCGGCTGCTCCCCAAGGTCACGCTGGCTCTGTCCTCTACTCCCTTGAATTGTCTAGTTCCCCATGTCGGGGGTGCTGCCTCCCCTTTGAGGCCTGGCCTGAGGGAGGCCGACGTCCAGCTGTTGCCTGCTCTGTGCAGCCTGCTGCACGTAGGAGCTGATCTAGGGTTTGAAAGCAAGTTACTTGGGGGGCTGTCAGGATGGCACAGCAGACCGCCGTGGATTTTGTTTGTAAGCACAGGTGTGAACTGTGTCACTGATCTGGCCCAGAGTTCAGGCTGCTGATTTCAAAAGTGGGTGCCAGGGACCTGAACCCTGAGACACCAAGTGGAACTTGTTGCTGGAGCAGAAGTGGGCAGGGGCAAGGGCTCCAGAGGCGCCTTCGGGGTCCTAATCCCCGAGGGGCCATGTGGGGACTTCTTGCTCCTGTTCTGAGAGAACCCCTACGTTCTCTAGCGCCCCTGCATCTCCAGGAGGCCGAGCGGGCAGGCAGATTCTGGCCGTCCTGGCTGTGCCTGCATCTCCGCCCGCCGCATGCCCGGGCAGCCCGTAGTGTGACGGTAGAAGGGCCACAACCAGAGCTGGGGCCTGCTGCTCACGGGCTCTGAGCTGGGAGGCCCTGGGCCAGAGCATAGCCCAGGGAGCGGGGCAGTGTAGTGTGCCCCAGACTGCCTGCGGCCCCTTGGCTGTTGGCTGACGGTGCCATTCCCGCATGACCCCTCATAGTTTGTGGGGCTCATTCACGTCACGATTCCGTTTGTCATCACTGCAGCAGGCAGGGCGCTTGACAGAAACAGGAAGAAAGGGGTTCTGGGTAGGAGCGAATATTTGCAGCATTTTTTCCTCCCCAAGCTTGCCCCAGAAGGACGTGGCCTTTTCAGCATTGCCAAGTATAGGTGCAAACCTGAGGACAGGCCAGGACTAGAGAGGAAAGCACAAAACCTGGGGGCTGAAAGCAGAGGCGCCAGCTGGAAGGGAGCAGACCTGAGAAGGCCGAATCCTTGGCCAGCAGTGGGGAAACCGAGGCAACCCCTCCTGGAGACACTCGGGCACCGGGACAGGCCATCTGGACGCGGAAGCACAGCCCCAGGGCCCTTCCCTGTTCCATACCAAACCAAGGGGTCCAACGTGTGGGAAAATAGTTCCAGAAAGAGCACAGGACATGAAGTGGAGCAGAGCAGAATGAATACATGTTCAGGAAAAACTCCTGGTGGCATGGGCTCAGGCCTGGGGGCACCGAGGCGTGAGTGTATGCAGTGTGGCCGGTGGGCCTGGAGCGCCAGGCTGGGTGTGCAGGGCTGGGAGACGGGAGGGCTTTCAGGCTAGACGCGCACACCCGGCCCTTCGGTGTGAAGACCGCAGGGGACACGGGCTCTCCAAACACAGACCTCACAGATCCCAGGGTGAGACCCGGCAGGTGGCTATGAGGTGGGCACAGGGTGTGGGGGCCGTGTGGCAGTGGCGGGACGCCGGGGAGGCTGGCCGTGCACGGCACACTCCTTCTTTACCATGTCTCATGACGGTGACCCGCACTCTGGAGGTCTTGTTGCCCGCGGAGGACAACACGGAGCAGCGGTACTCGGCGCTCTCTTGGAGGGCATCTCGCAGCCAGCTGAGCACGTGGGTCCTGCCGTCGTGCAGCCCGTGGGTCTGTGTGGGGACACATGTCTCCAGCTCACGGCCATTCTTCTCCCAGACAAAGTGAACGTCTGCAGGACCTGGGGACACACAGACTGTCTCCACCTGGTGTCCCCTGGACTCTGACTAAAGGCCCGTGTTCACGGCCCCCAGTGGGGATGAGTGGCATGAGCTACCCAGGGCAAGGACCTGCATTGTCCCAGCTGGACTCAGAGTGACGGCACTTGTGTCCCTGGAGGTGGCCTGGGGTGATTCCCACTGTGAGCGTCAGCGTCCTTGGAGAAAAGGTGTGCCCTCACTGCCCCCTGGACTCCCTGCTTCTTAAACCTTAGGTACCTTTTTAGAAGCACATCTGCACAGCTGGTGTCCCCTAGCCCCCTTTGCCATGGGGGACCTGAGAGCCATGCCCTGGGGACAGGTGTCCGTTCTGCACAGAGGGTCTGAGCCTGGGAACTTCATCTCTTGCCCTAGACCTGACACCACCACCTGTGACCAGAGGCTCTGCCTCCAGGGGGTCCCCCCTGCTCTCCTGGCACCTAACTGGAGGTGGTCCGGCCAAGCTGAGGGGTGGGGATGCCAGGGGGCGCTCCCAGGGGGTGGGGAGGGGCACCAGGCATGGATGGCACCCAGGGGTGGGCTGCAAGCTGACCCAGACTAGAGCCAGCCCTGCTTGAGAACGCATCTCAAAGCAAGAGTCTACCTGGTTGCCCCGCCAACCTGGGAACCACAGAGGCTGCGGCGGTGTCCGGGGGCGGTCAGCAGAGGGGGAGTGCACCTGTGCGGGAGCACGTGTTTCACACAGCAGCGCTGTGGCCACACTGGTGGTGTGGACACCTTGTCAGTGTCCTCTTGTTTTCTGTGCAGGATTTATGGGTTTTTATTCTATTAGTGTAATTTGATTTTCACAAAGCGTTTTGTCCTCTAGTCGAAGATGTTTCTGTCCATGTATCACACGTAGATATGCATGCATCTGAGGATCCGCACTACAGACGTGTGTGCACACGCATGAACACACACACAGGTCTGCCTATGTCTGCATACACCTGCAGCTGCCCATCGCCGGGCACTGACCCTCCCTGTACCTGCTGCGAGTGCCGTGTGACACCACCGCCCAGCAGCCGAATCAAGTTTGGAAACGGACTCTTGTTGAGGCAGTCTGTGAACAGACACTGAAGTCTGTTCCAAAAGGCCTGGGCTCCCCGCATCCCCTGACTGCCCCATGGTGACGTACCACCTGGATGGGCCACGGGAGCTTCTGGAGGTTTCTTACAGCCCTCTCTGGGACAGAACCTGAGCCATATGGCCAGGACCTGAAAAGCAAAATGCCCGGGTGCCCATGCCGTAGGGGGGCATGGGCAGAACACAAACCACCACGTGCAGCCTGAAATCTGCGTTTAGCCACAGTAAAGCACTGAAAATGTTAAAGGTGTACTTACGTTCTACTTACTTTTTTAGAAAGCTATCCGGCTCCTGAATGCAGAGGAGAACAGGGAGGCAAAGGGACAGTTAAAACCTGTCAGCAGGGCCTGCATACTGCCACTCAGGCCCAGACAGCAGGCCAGGCCCTCCTGCCCCAGGAAGGCTCCCCAGGCCTTGGGTTCCAGCACCTGCCAGGGTTCACCCTGCCCCTAACCCACCCCATGCCCGAAGGGGACTGGTGGGTGCAGTGCTGATTCTACCTTGTGTCAAAACCAGAGCCCCTCAGAGCAGTGGCCTCACTGAGGGACGACACCTGATTTTGGAAGTGGGGGCCTTGAGAGCCCAGAGTTGGAGGGCAGTGTGATGGGGTCAAGTCCTCGGGCCACATCTGTGACTAGTGTCCCTGCTTGTCAAGCCTTCCCCCAAGCATCCCCTTGTATATGGTGGTCTCTGACCCTGGGGCCAGCCCATCTCCGAGCTCATGCCCGGGGCCTCCTGCCAGTTACTGGCGGCACCCAGAGTTGGACGTCGTCCTGCATGGCCAGATCCAGAACTGCATGGAAATCAGGATCCAGCTGGGGAGAGGGGCCTCTTCCACCCCATCAGAGCCTTCCCATCACAGTGCCCACATTGTCGCAAAGCAGCCAGCACTCTGTGGTCGGCTGACGAGAGTGACCCCCAGAACATCTAGAGAATATCTAGGTCCCAATCCCTGGAAGCATGTGGCAAAATGTGCTTCACAGACCACGTTGTGGGTAAGTGGGAGCATGGGGGTCGCCTGCCCAGGCGCCCAGTTTCATGGGGTGCCAGGTGCGGGGGACGGTCCCACACGTAAGGACTGCTCTGGAAAAGCCTATGGTGATCACAACAGAAAGACATGCTAAGGATCAAGCCAGCTGCAAGGGGACAGATCGGCCGCCTTGCCCACCCTGGAGGGGTCCCAGCCTTTCCAGACAATGACCAGCTCCCGAGTCGACGCGCACAGTCCAGCCTGGTCTTTCCGGAGCACCCTCCCTCCCCCCTTCCCCCAAGACACGCTGGCACCAACAGCCACTGTGGGGGAGCAGGGAACGTTCTGTGGCCCCCACAGCTCCCAGTGGCTTCAAGGGCTCTGATTTCCAACATCGTGGTTAAAACCCAGGAGGCCGCCAAAACCAGGGGTAGCCGAGTCACCTCACGTACAGAGGACCCGTTCCTAGCTGTGAAAGTGATGAGCACAGTCTGCCAGGGATGCAGGGTCCCGCGGGGCAGACGGCTCCACTTGGGCACCAAGGGGCTCCAGTCCACACACCTGTGGGGGCAGATGCATGATCTGCACGTCTGTGAACGTGGGCGTGTTGGTGTGGCTCACAGCTCTCCCTGCCTGTGCACACACGCCGGAGTACCGCTGCCAGTGACTGCTCATCCCACTGCACTCCACGGCAAGGGGCTCGGGGTCATTGCAGAAAAGCATCCCCGCCATATGCCGACATCAGTCTCGGGCTCAGGATCCCTTCTGCCTGCCAGCACCTTCCTAACTGCAGATGCGGCCAACCCCCCCCCCCCCCCCCGTCACCTCCTGGGAGGTGAGCAGCAGTTTGGAGACGCCCTCCTCTGCACCCTGAGGCCTCAGGGCCTGGGAATGGAGGCATGGCTGCAGAGCACCATTGGCAGTCGGCTGTGGCCAGAGATGCATGCACACGTGAGTGCACACACACACCCCGCGGGGAAAATCCGGACATGGGGCAAGACGGGGAGCAGCGAGGCACGCCCGGCACAGGCAGGTGATCTGGCCCAGCCGCCAGTCACAGTTTACCAAAGCCAGGTCTGCGTGGCCCCCGGGGCCTGAGGCCGTTTGGGGACACTGGGAGGGAAACCTGGAAAGGGAGGGGCTGCGGGAGGAGCTGCGGCTGGAGCGTCAGCTGGAGAAGAAACTGGTTCTGGCATGTGCCGGGAAGGGGTGGCCAGAGGCACTGTCATTTGAAACCCCATGTACAAGGACACCCACCTGCGCATGCGACCAGCACTGGCTCCTGGACGGGGCTCCGGGGAGAGGCCGAGCTGGGGGCGGGCCCTGAGGCCAGGGCTGCGCCTCCTGGCTTCCGCTGACACCTCCAGCGACCGCTCTGGAGGGTGGGGTGGGCGCCCTGGGATGCGGCCCCTGCCCTGGCTTGCTGCTGCCCGACGGAGCCGCCCTCCCTCGGGGCCCGGCCCGCACACCCAGCCGCCCACAGGAGGGCCCGCTGTGCTCCGTGTGGCCTGTGCCGAGCTGCGCTGGGCAAGCCCCGGGCCCTCGGGTACCTCGAGCTGACAAGGACGCACGGCCTTCCCTCGGGTGGAATAGGATGCACGGGCTCCCTGGGAAGGGCCCGTTCTCAGGCTGCCTCAGCCTCAGGTGGGGCCCCGTGGAACAATGGAAGGTTCCAGGTGGGCCACCGCTCAAGGAGCAAGGAGTGTGCGAGGGGAGGGCGGGGGCCGCGGGCCCTCTGCTCAATCAGCTGCCCCCTCCGTGCTGCCCACTTCTCCCGCCCTGGGCTGCGAGGCCACCCGCTGCCTCCCCATCCTTGGTCCCCAGCTTCCTGTCAGGTCCCACTAAGGAGGCGGGAAGTCTGGGGAAGACTGTCCCTCTGGCTGCTGGTTCTTGGCAGCAGCCCGGCAGGGGAGGGGGTGTGGCTCTTCCCGCCGTCGTCACATATGGGACCCGCACCCCTTCTCCCCAGCCGCCAGCAGCCCTGCAGTGAACACCCTGCACTGGGTCCCCGTTGAAACCTGGTATGCTTCCCACTCCGGCTGACGCCAGCCTCGGGGTCCCCCAGCCCCCCATCACAGGGGCAGTGCACTTGTGTGCACACACTGGCTAACAGCGCCTCCCAGAGAAGCCACGTTTAGAAGTGTCCCCTGGTCTCATGGCCGCCTGCGGCAAGGGGCCTTGGGTTCCTCGCCAGGTTGTGTGACTGACCACCCGCTCTCCCAGCAACGCGGACACCACTCTGTCCAGGGAGGCCCCAAGAGGACTCGCCCAGGCCCGGAGCCACACGGGGGGCCCGGTACGGGCTAAGTCCAGGTGTGGAGCAGGCGAGCGGGGGGCCGCCCAGACCTGCCCCCATGGGTCTGTCTCCATAGCGTCCTGCTCACAGGCGGCTTCCCGTGCGGCCACGAGACATGCGGCCAGTCCACGGCCACACGGGACGTGCAAAGGCTCCCGGAGCCGGCTCGTACCTGGAGCACTCCTCAGTTTAAAGTCTCAAGAAGAAACCACCTGCACGCTGCTTCCTCTTCAGCTCTATCCCTCTCCTCGGGGCACAGAGGACGGAGCCTCCAGGCAGCCGCTCGGCCACAGGAGACCACGGGGACCAGGGAGACCACGGAGGCCATGGAAAACCATGGGGACCATGGGAGGCCACAGGAGACCACAAAGACATGGCCCCGCAGGAGGCCGTCTTGGCCTCTCCCAGCACAGGGCAGGCACCTCCAGGCCCCGGGGCCGCTCGGCTCGACGCATGAGAACGACGCCCCTTCTGGCGGCTCCGGAGTCCCCCAAGGACAGAGCCCCGAGGGGTCGGCAGTCAGTCAGTCCCACCGAGCAAGGCCTCGGGGCTCTGGAGGCAGAGCCGAGTTCCCGATGGGACCCGTGGCCTGTGCAGCCCATGGCGGTGAGCGCAGCCCCCTGTGGATAGACCGATGCCCCCCCCCCCCCCCCCGCCTGGCGCCCCGCTCACCTGTGGCCTGGCAGAAGAGGTGGAAGGTCCCCAGGGCGTGCACGTGCTGTGCCTGGTCGCTGAGGAAGGGTGGCAGGAGGGCAACCGGCAGGCTGCTGTCAGGCCCCGAGGCCGAGGCCGGCCAGGGGCTTCGGGGAGAGGAAGCTGAGCCGGGGCCCCGACAGGACAGGGAGGAGGACCCCGGAGGGGGGAAGGGCAGAGGTGAGGCTGCGAGACAGAGGACAGAAAAGAAAGAGGCCACTGAGGCGGGGTCGTGAGGATCCCACTGCACCCGGAGCAGGAAAGCAAAGCACAGAGAAGGGAGGGCCAGCAGCGCAGGTCAGCGCCCGTGGGGGGGGGGGGGGGAGGGTGTTGGCCGCCAGACTCGGCAAGTCACGCCCGCGTGAAGGATAGAAGCTTCTCATTTATTAGGTTACTTTTCCAATGTATACAATTCAAAGTAGAAAAATAAAAACAAAGTAAATCTTATAAAACACAAATGTTTACACCAAAATGGTCGAGTCCTAGCATGCTGCAGATGACACCGTCCACGCGGGCACACACAAGTCCAGCTTATTGCTCTTTGCCACGGAAAGACAGCCTCCTCTTGCAGGCGTGTGGGAAGCAGCAGGCGGGCTTGACGTCACCGAGGCTGAACCATCTCGCCTGTTTGCACCTTGAGAGACAGCACTGGGCCACGTGCCTCCGCCCCCATGGCTCCAAGGACTGTTGGGACACGGGCCTGTCCAGCTTGCTTGCATGTGTGGACAGCTCTCTTCAGCCAGGTGGGACGTCCCGTGGGCAGTGGCTGTGGACAGAGGCCAATGGTCACAGCAGCCACGTGGATGGCTGAAGACGCCCTGGTGGATGTCTGTCCGTCTGCACGGGAGGTTCTGAGCAGTGGCCATGGGCCTCCGTTTGCAAGACCTGCACCCCCATCAGCTCTGGGCCAGCCTCCCGCTGTTCTCTCTTCTTCGAAACAGTTAAAACAACGGGGGGAAAATTATAGAAAGAAAATCTCTCTGAAAATGAGGTTTCCTTCAAGGAATAAAAAAAAAAAAATGTGCTTAAGAGATGGTTCTGTCTACGTTTCTAAAAGCAGAAGGAATGCATTTAGCCAAAGTAAGTTTATCCCTGAGAATCGTAAGCAACGTAAGCTGTATCCTATCCTCACAACAGAACTCGGAAGATGTACTACATCTTCTCAATATTTAAACATCCGCTTTCTTGATTTAAGAAATAAACGACCTAACACAACAGAAGTAAAACCCTACAAAAATAATCCTGTGGGAAGAAAAGGTACGTGCCAATCTGGACAACAGGCGCTAAGTTACCAATCTGATAAACAAACACGTCATTTCCAATCTGGAATGAAATGATCGTTCAGTGGCTGCTTGGAGGAGGGGGCGCTCCAGGCATGAGTGTCCACAGCCGGTCCCCGACGGCGGCCCACCTGGGATGCCGGGGCACAATGCTCACCATTTTCCGAAAGGACAAAGAGAAACCAAATCACAAGCTCGACCCAAGAGAAAAGACACAGAAGACAGGTGTATGGACACGGGCTCCCTACGTGGCCCCAGGGCCGGACGAGCACCGACGGTGTGTGGAGGCCTGTACGCGCAGGCGCCTCATTCCCCGTCCGCATCCGCGTCCGAGTCGGCATACTTGAGCTCACACTTGACGTCAAACGGCCTGTCCCGGACCGGCAGGTCGTCGAGCCTCTGCGAGTCTTCCCTGTCGGTGGGCACCCGGCTGGCCATGGTGTCCTGCTCCGTCTCGTAGCCGGTGTCCAGGGCCGGCCGGGGCTGCCCCCCGTTCTGCTGCGAGAAGCTGCCCTGCTCCACCAGCGTCTCCTTCACGCTCTGCTCAAAGTCGGAGAAGTCGGACGCGGGCTGCTTCTTCCCCAGCAGCATGGCGGAGCGGAGCTTCAGGCAGTGGCCGGGCAGGTAGCCCTTGTAGCAGTTGTAGGAAAAGAGGCCGAGGCAGAGCACGAAGAAGAAGAGGAAGAGGAACATGAGCAGGCGGTTGTCACTGGACTTGAGATACATGGTCTTCTCCGAGTGGACCTCAGGGACCGTGTTGATGATGGTCTTTGGTTTGCAGGTGCCGCCGGTGGGCGCGGGGCTGGGTGTGGGGCCCCGCATGGCCGGGGTCTGGGGCAGGGGGCCCAGGGTGGGCTCCATCGACACTCTGAGGACGGTCCTGTCGCCTTCTGTCCGGGCGGCTGGTGGGGTGGGAGCAGCCGGGGTCCTAGGAACCACCCTGACTTCCAGAACATGCTTGGCCAGCAGCTGCAGGACCGTCCTGTTCCTGACTCTCTCCTCCGACAGGCACTGGTACACCCCACTGTCTCCCTCTGACAGGTCGAAGATGAGCAAGTCTTTCCTGCCCACCAGGCCATACTTGGGGGTCTGGGCCTTGAGTACGCGGTCCCGGAACGTCCACACCACCCGGGCCAGGTTCGACTTTTGGGAGCATTTCAGTTCCGCTGTGCCGCCGTGCTTGAAAAAATGCTCCCGGAAACTTTTAGTTTCATCTGGAACACCAAAATAAACGTGCACAGTGTCAACAACCCGGCCCGCTACTTCCCTTCTTTCAAAGATAGGTCAACACGCACAAGAGAACACAAGAGTTTCACCCACTGGAGCAACACAGAATCTTCCAGAACAACTAAGGAGATAAAGACATGCGTGACAGAAGAGCAGAGATGAGCCCCAGATGGCAGCCCCAGGGGATGAGGAACTCGGGAGCAACCGGGCACAGAGTTCCCATCTGGTGCCCTGCGAGGCCGTGCGGCGACACGCGGGGTCACATGCCGCGCTCCTGCCAACGGCTCCGGGGCCCGTGGACTCTCAGTGCGCCCAGCACCCTCCTGAGGCTGCCCCGCTGTCGAGTCCACATCAGGAGCGTGACAGCCCAGGGCACGGCTGCCTTCCAGGAGACCAAGGGATGTGCCTGACCCCCTGGCCGGCAGGGGCATCGCCGAGGGGATGAGGACTCCTCCCGCTGCCCCTCCCGGGACCCTCAGGGTTGTGTCAGCAGCCCCAAGCTAAGCGGGAGAGAGGAGCGTCTCAAGACTGGATGTCACAGGTTGGACGCCGAGCACCTTCCAGTGAACGTACTACGTGGCTGCAACCAGAGGGGCTGGCGGGGTCGGCCTCTGTATCCTCATGGATACGTGCCCTCTGTTCCAAGTAGAGAAAGAAAAAAGAATGTACGAGATGCCACAACAGCACAGCACCACGACACGATCACGAGACCCGGCCGCCCCCGAGCAGCACAGCGAGGAGGGGCCACTTACTGGGGCAGACGGACGTGTCACCGCTCATCTGCTGAACCAAAGTCCTGCAAGGCAAGCGGGCACGGTCACTCACGCGCCTTCCCCGCGGGCAGGGCGGGTGGCCGGCACGCGCGCCCCCGGTACCTGCTGGGGCTGTCTGTCCGGTGCAGGTCCACGCAGGCCTCGGCGGCACGGCTCCAGGCGCAGTAGGGGTCGCGGGCCAGCACGCAGTCCTCGCAGCTCCCGTGCTTCCTGCAGAAGGCCACGGGGGCCTGCACCACACCCGAGCTGGAACCCGCGTACACAAACCTCTTGCCCTGCATGGGGGAGACAGAGGGGACAGGCGCGTGAGGGGGGCATTCATGCGCTTGGTGGCAGGTGCCTCTCCACCTCGCCGGCTGTGGCAAGCACGTTCCCGCGATCCCTCATCCAGGAGCTTCCAGAACCGGAGCTCAGCCGGGCTACTCCAAGGCCAATCCCAACAGCAGCACCTCAAGCCCGCAGAGGCCGCGTGCTCTTCAGCAGAGTCCTCGTTAACTCGGCCCTCGGGGCCTTGGTCACAGGACCCTCCAGAACCCCCCAGCCATCCCGTCTGGGTGCCAGTGTGGACGTGTCTCTGCCCCACTAGGGCTGGGGGTCAGCTCCTCTGTGTGCATGGGGCTCCTCCAGTGGGACACTCCTGGCCCTGCGACAGGACAGAGGCCAAAGGGTACAACTCGGAGCCCAATCTCAGGCCTGTCTGGCTTGAGCAGCCGTGTACAGACAGCCCAGTAGTGTCCGAATCCAGCGGGGCCAGGAAAGGAGGTGCCAGTGAGTGGTGGGGGGCATGCAGAACTCCAGCACGAGGAATAAGGGACCAGCCAGGTTTGCGAGGGAGGAGCACGCAGACAGGGAGGCCGACGGCTGGCACCTCAGAGAGCCAGGCCCCCCAGGCGTCTAATTGCTCCCCTGGACACAGCAGGGACCCCTCCTGGCACAGCCATGCTGCAGGGCTGCAATTCTGCATGTGTGTCTACGGTCTCCTCCGCCGGTGAGCCCATCTTCCCCGACCCCACACAGATCTTCTGGTTAACCTCAGGGTTAACAGAACCCAGCAGAAGTCAGTGTTTCAGACCCAAACGAGTTGCAGCCTTCCCCGGGGGGAGACAGGGAATTAACAGCAGCGTCCAGCTGGCGCTCCTGGCCTGTGACGCACCCTGTGTGAGTGTAGCCAAGAAGTCCCCTCCACAGCAGACTGTCCTCTGGTCAGAAGGGGCAGAGAGCCAGGCCTGGGGGCCAGCCCATCCCTGTTGGTGGGGCCCAGGCAGAGGAGGCCACATGGCTGCTGAAAGGACTGAGGATGCCACCCCAGACCCCTGTCAGGGTCACATGGCTTGCAGAGGAGAGGGTTCCTGGGAAGGCCGAGCAGGCAACCTTGAGGGACCCCAGAGGGCACAGACTCTGCCCCGGAAGCCCCAGCTGACACCAGACCTGAGCGTGTGGCTGTGGGCATGGGGGGATGGGGCGCTCATGTCCCTGTACCCCCCGTCCCCAGGGCTGGGCTTCCGTGATCCAGAGCCACGGAGTAACAGATTCTGAGAGAAGGAAACAGGCAAACAGTGGCGGGGGGTGGCTGAGACCGTTGGCAGGTGCAGAAGCCCGTGGGCAGGAGGGACTGACACCCAGCAGCCTTGAGGTCTCAACCATGAGCAAGCGTCCGTCACCACGGGGTGGAGTGCAGGTCCACGGCTTCACAGCATGTCTGCCCATGGGCACTGGGGCCTCACCCCTGCCTGGCCCCGCTGGCCAGCACTGTCCTCGCTCACGTCCCCAAACCCTCAACCCCATCCAATCACGAGGAAACCCGGGGTGTTTGGTCCTCCGCAAAGCTGAGCATGCCGCAGAAATGATGATGGACGGGGATGTCCCAGGCCACGTGAGGCCCCGGAACTGGAGCAGACGTTTGTGGGCCAGTGGGCACTGTGCCAGCGGGGCTCCTCCGTGCGGGGGGTGGCCAGAGCCCCTGCACATCATGCCCCCACCTCTGTGGATCTGACAATATTTCAAAATGGAAAGTGTTTGGAAAGGCAAAGAAAAAAGAAAAAACCTGAGCAGGTAATGCCTGATGTTTGTGAGGTTTGTTGAGTGGGTGCGTGCCGTGGCCCTGTCCTGCCTGGCCCCTCGCGGGTCCCCTTGGACATCAGGTCCAAGTCCATCTGCTCACAATGCAGGGGACCCGTGCGTGACGTCTGCACACGTGCCCCTGGGAAGTCAGCTGCCTTCTCCCCCGACCTGGCTGCCCGTGCCTCTTGCCGCTGCCGACCGTCCCCTCCCCTGGCTGCGTGGAAGCGTGGAGGGGCCATGGGACCACCTCAGGTGTGAAGCTCCGTCCACCCCTGGAGACAGAGGCTTGGGAGCGTCAGGGTCACACAAGGCAGGCTCAACACGTGAACAATGCCACACACTGGGGACAGCTGAGCCCGGTGCCCCGGAACGAGGCTTTGCAGCCCAGGCAGAGAGGCCAGGTGCGCAGCAAGGGGCACGGGCCCGCGGCCAGGCTTCCGGTGTCTGCTCTGGCCCCGGGGGGACTCCCAGCGTGGGGACCCCACAGGGAGGAGCGAGGCTGGCAGCCAGTCACAGGGCGGGGCCGGGCCACCCCCAGGGTCGGATGCCCCCAGCTACAGAGGAGGCTCACGTGGTCCCCCTGCCTGGGCCTGGCCTGCTGGGATCCGCGTGGCCCGCCCCAGCTGTGAGCGGGAGCCGCGGCCCAGCCACGTGTGGAGACGGCAGGGCTCGGCCTGCGCAGCAAATCCGCCCCGCCGTTTCTGCACTACCCGCCAACTAATAACAGATTTCACATTGTGAAACGGCTGAGGAAAAAGTCAGAACAACATTCCATGACATCTGGGTGTTAGCGAGCTCCTGAGCTGTTTCCATAAATAAAGCTCTGCCGGAGTGCAGGCAGGTGCAAACGCCGGTGATGCCCCAGGGCCGCTCGTGTAGCCCCTGGAGCCTCGAACACTCAGTCCTGGCTTTTACGGGAGGGCTTAGCAGAACCCCGACCCCGACCCCGACCCGATCCCGACCTCGACCCTGACCCCAACCCGGATGCAGAAGGTGCCTCGTCAGAGAGGCGGGGGTCGCACAGGCATCATCACTGCTGCTCAGAGCAGGCTCCTCTGTCCCGACATGTATGTTGCAAGGACCCCTCACCTGCCGACGGGGCGCCGACCCTACCCAGCTCAGGGCGCAGGGGTGTTTCTGTGAGCCGGTGCCCCTCACCTCCCAGGGTGCCCCAGCAACTCCGTGAGGCACAGCCCTCCTGAGCTGACAGTTCCATCTCCCCATCCGACACCCTGGGCCTCCCAGGACCTTCTGTAAGAGGCTGGAGATCGGCTCCTCTGGACCAGACAGACTGGCCTCCGCGTTCACCCGGCGACCAGGGACACGAGTGCCCCCCGCCTGCCCGCCCCCCGCCGGCCACTCTACCTGCTGGGAATTCAGCAGCAGCGTCTGGATCGGCTCAAAGTCCGGGAAGAGCTGCGTCTCCTCGATGATGTGGGCCTCGTGCTCGAAGCTGACGGCTTTGTGCAGGGCACCCCGGTCTGCAGGGGCAAAGCTCTGGGTCAGGGCCACACCCGCGAGGACAGGACGTGCTGGTACTGTTGGCCACGGCAGCCCGCGGTCCATTCTTTCCGTCAACTCCCTCCCCTGACAGGACGCTTAGAGACTGATGGTTGTCTCGCTTTGGAGGTGGGAAAGGAGAAACCACTCGCTGGGGAATGGGGACCGAGTGGCACAGAGCGTTTCCACTGTTCCCTCAATGATACGCTAACAGGCTACAGTTGGCTCCAGTGGACGTCGATGCAGTGACGTGCTGCCACCATAAGGACAGGTGGCCCTCTGGGGATGCCGCCCATGGGTGCCCCGGGGAAGGTGAAGGCAGGGCCCTCTCCCATGATGATTAGAGCCACTGGAAAGCTCCCAGGGCCAACCATGGTGCCCTACCAGCGGCCTTGGAGCCTGGCCACCACCCCTTGTTCAGGGTCAGGTCCCAAACCAGCAGGGAGGCCCGCACGGACCACCCAGACTCCCTCAGTGCTAGCCCCGACCTACGGGACCCAACTCCCCAGATGGGACCCGGGATCTGCCTTTTCACCCAGCGCCCCGGTGGTCTGATGTGCTCACAGCCCTGAGGCCAGCCAGCTGGGGCGGCCACTTGGGAACGCTTCCACGCACGCAGTTGGGGCCTCGGGGGCAGGCGCTGGCTCCCCAAGGAAGAGCCAGCGGTGCCAGTGTCCTCACCAGGGGTCGGAACCCACCTGTGCTGACAAACATGATGTCATAGACGGTGCCGTCCAGGGCCCGTGTCCTGTCCACCACGATCTGCGTGTAGTTCACGTCTCTCTTGATCAGCCTGGGCCTGTTGTCTATCGGGGTCACGGAGCCGTCCATCAGAGGGTGGTCTTTGATGAACTGTAAGGTCTTGTCAGGCAGAGTGAGGGAGCTGGAGAAGTTGGCGGCCCGCGCTTCACGGTTGATGCACTGCAGGGAGGGAGCTGCCTGTCAACACCCTGCGCACGGCTGCCCGCACACGCTCCCCACGCAGGCCCCCAGGAGGCACAAAACCCACTACACAGCGGGTTTCTTGCACAAGGGCACAAACAGGCGCCCGTTCCCTGCAGGTGCCTTATCCTTTGCGGCCTGTGGGGGAGGCAACTACATTTGTATCCATGAGACAGAATTCCCGAGATCCACACTCTGCGAAGCTGTACCTACTTATAAACGAGAAAAGCGTATCAAGCTTTTGAAATTGAATCTAAGTACTTATCGCTTGACAGCTCAAGAACACGGCTAAAATTGCTAAAAACAGTCCCGTTCCAAAGTGCATGAAGGTCAAGCGTGTGAGGGACTCTAGCTTCTCATGCGTGTGAGTGGACGGGTTTTACTTCGTAACTTGCGCACTGAGGGACCCGACCATTGTGGGCACACGTGTCCCCCCGGAGGAGACCCTGTCCTGGGGGAGAGCCCAGGCCCCGGCCCCGCACGCCAACCACAAGCTGAGCAGATGCAGCCAAATGGGCCTTGTGACCACACTGACTTCTACACAGAATTCACTACTTTTAGGGGGAAAAAATGTGACTCGTGTTAATGGGCAGGAAGTACAGCTCGTAACCAAGGAATTGTGTATTTCTGTGCAGGGAGCAGAAGATGACACAGAACTCTTTTTATCATACGACTTTAATGCCACTAAGTGACCTGTGCCAGCCAGGGTGACCTTCTCGTTCAGCCTGCAACCCCGTGCCCTGCACACCACTGAGGACAGCACAGGGGGAGGAGTGTGCTCGCTGACCTTCCTAGCCCCTGTGGATGCCTCTTCCCCTCCAGGACCACCCCCACCCTGGCCTGGCCCGGGATGCATGGCGGTTCCCACCAACTTGCCCCCGGCCTCCCGCAGCCCAGCCCCACTCACCGCCCCGGGCCGCGGCGTGGGCACGGCCCCGTTGTAGCGCACCCACTTGGTGTGGGACTGCTCCACCGTGGCGCTCTGCATGTACTTCCCGCCGGAGAAGACCGCCTCGGCCGTGGACAGGTTATAGGCACACACAGCCGACAGCCCCACGTTGTTCCTGCGGAGGAGGGGGACGGCGTGACTGGCCTGGCTGGTGGGAGTGCAGAGAAGCTGCCCCCCTGCCCACCCCGCTGCCCACGCACTCACAGCTGTGGGGTGAAGACCCCGTAGAACACGGGCTCCTTGAGGTCTGGGGACCTGAGGACAAAGATGTCCTGCAGCACGTTGAAGACGAGGTTGCTCTCTGGCCGGGAACAGATCAGCCTGGCCTTGAGGAAAGACGTCCACTTCTTTTGCAGGGTCCGCAGGCCACCCTGGTCCCCCTAAAACCAGAAGACACGTGTGGTGGGGGAAGGGCAGGCCCCTGTGAGCGGGTGCCCAGCGAGTGTGGTCAGCGGGCCCCCAGTGGCGCCATTCGAACCACCTGAGGCCTCGGCTGAGGAAGGCCGCGGAACCGCCACGTGGCCACTGTGCCCCTTCCTCGCCAGCTGGGGTCTTGGGTCAGACAGGCCTCTCGGTGATGTTGCCTGGCCGCGGCTGGAGGGACCGGTGGGCCATGCACACACACATGGCATCACGGCAGATGCCTCACCAGCCACATGCTACTGAACCCCATGAGCAGCTGCAGAGCCCGGGCCATGGACAAGGCCCCGTCTGCCTCAGGCCAACACGTGGGGACTCCCCCAAAAGACAGTCCTCATCGCAGAGGATGCAGTCATGTCAGCGGGCTCTGGCCGGGTCCCCCATACACATGTTCTCGTGAGCGGCCCCCAAGGGACAATGACAAACATGCCTGATGGGACCCGCCCAGGAGAGCCTGAAACACGAGAATCTGGATGCAGGAGACTCTGGAATCGAAGCATTCTTACTCATTTTGGACACAGAAACCCACACGCCCTCTGCCACCTGTATGTTGGGATGCCGAAATCCCAATTCCGGCAGAATTTAGCTCACACGGTGGCCAGCCACTAAGTTTCGGTAACTTGGGAGGCCTGGGGGAGGGGGGTCAGAAGCAGGCTTGCTGAGACTGGGTGGCCGCTCACACATGGGGGTGCCTATGCTTCCGGGGTTCACAGGGACACCCCCAGGCTGCCCGGGCAGGCTGATCATCATGGTGTGGGAGGGTGAAGCAGAGGGGTGTCGACATTTCAGAGGAAGCCCGGAACCCACAAGTCCCCCGGACACATGTGCGCCATGGGTCAGCACCAAGGGGACCTCGGGGAGCGTGCTCACCTTGCACACCCTGGCCACTCGTGGGATCATCAGCTTGAACACAAACTCATACTCCACAGACACCTCAGTGAAGAAGAAGTAGACCCGGTCATCCCCGCTGTCCACGCCATCTGGGTGTTCTCGGATCACGTCAGCAAAGACGAAGCTTGGCTCTGCAAGCGGCAGACACATGGCTGGCCCTCCACATGCCCAGGGCCCCGGTGCCACCAGCAGCAATGCAAGAGGATGCATGTGTCACAGGGGTGGGGATGCCGCCCACTGCCCTCCCTGGCCCGCGGAGGTGCTGGAGATGCTGCCTATGACCCCAGGCTGGGCTTCCCCCCGTGGCGGGCAGACCCCCATCCCCGGAGACCCAACGATGACACAGCCCCTGCCCTAGCCCACCCTGCAGCGAGGAGCACCCCGGGGTCACAGGCAGCTGCCAAGCCCACAGGGAGAGCCCCGTGTGAACAGCTGCGGGATCTGCTGCAACCGCATCATCTGGAGGTAGGTGGCCTCCCTGCCCGAGTCACCGGGGACTGTGAAGCTCTCATATCACGAAGGACGGTGACCATGTCCATTTTCAGGGAGGGAAGTAGTGGGGAGGGTGGCCTTCAAGCAGCACCAGCTGAGCGGAGAAGGACCCAGCCTGGGACACTAGGTATGGAGCTCTGGATGCACCCACAGGGGGGCTGCCACGAGGTCAGGGGCGCCCAAGGCCTTTGGGGAGGCTCAGCGCTGCAGATGGAGGAACACGGTGGCGGGGCTCCTGCCTCTTACCGTTGAGCCACGGGATCGCGTACTCCGTCCTCAGAGGGCTATGGGACGAGTTTCGGGAGATGATGGGCTCACTTCCCAGAAAGTTGTAGGATGTCCCAGAATACAGCTCCCCATCTTGAGCGGCCCCGGAGGGAAGAGGAGAGGGGGTCAGCACCCGTCACAGCTCCGGTCACAGCCAGACACAAGCCCCTCTGGGGATGGGGAGAGGCCGTGGGCCTGCTCCTGGGCACACGCAGCTGCTTCTGGAGCCTCTGCTGCATTTCCCCATGGGGATGGCTGTGTGCACCTCATGAAGGGTGCTTCTCGAGGGCTGGGCCGTGAACACCAGGGGACCTGCACCCAGGATATGATGGTGGGCACACAGGGCTCCACACATGCTGCCCTCTGTGGAGGCATGACAGTGTGAATAGGAGGCCACGTAATTTGTACAGACGCACGATAACCTCGTCCCACAAGTCTGACGTGTGGCCCCAGTGGTGGCCGGTGGGCCTTTTGCACAATGAGTTCAAAGGCTCATGTGGGAGGGTTTAAAGGGAGGCCCGTGGGCCTTCTGGGGGGACAGGGAATGTGGAGGCCGAGGGAGGGAGCCCCACGGGCTGCGTACCAGCCTGGGGGTGGGACTCACCAACCATGACAGAAGTGTAGCTCTGTGCGGGGTCGAAGGGGCACCTGCCCTTTCCATCTTCTGTTCGCCCCAGAAACTGAAAGGAGGTTAAGTTCTGCAACAGAACCAGGAGACAGAGCATCAGGAAGAGTTTGAACCTCTTGGATCCCAGCGCCCATGTGCTGAACCGCTTCCCAGATTCGCTGGGGGGAGAGAGAGAGGAGCATCTGGATGCTGGCGCCTCGAGGGCCCCACGGGTTCCAGGAGCCTCATTTTAGTTGTACAGCGCTGACAGCTCCACGGTCACTAGGCATCTAGGGCAGCCCGGGGTGGGAGGCCCCCGCGAGTGACTGGAGGCCACATACAGGATTTCAGTGCCAACGCGGCAGCATTGGAGGCGGCGGGGCCCAGCCCCCCTGAGACACAGGCACCTGGGGACTCCCACCCCATTTGGCTCTCACACACAGTAGGGGTGACAGTCTCAGGTCCGCATCCCTCCTGGCCTGACCAGGGAGCCCAAACCCTGTGCGTAAAGAACAGGAAAGCTGTGGGCCCACCTCCCATGTCAGGCCAGGGAGCACGAGCTGGGGTGTGAATGGATCGTAGCACAAGGGGCAGTCTGGGGGACGTGTGAACAGGGGGCGGCCCAGAGAAGAGAAGATTATTGGAAATGACTGTGCGTCTTTGCAGGCACCCACAGGCTTGGTCACGTAGGCCAGCGCCACTGCTCTGGGCATTCGGGGGCTGCAGGGCATGGGGCAGCTTGCCCACACCTGTGCCACCTGTGTGATCCAGGTGCCCAGATGCCTGCACCATCGGCCTTCTGGTGGCCTGAACATTGTCATTAAAAATATGGGGAGAGATTACATGTGACACCTGACTCCCTCACCTAACAGCAGACAGGCCCGCGGGACCGGCATCTACACCTGGTGTTGGAAACTCCTGACCGACTAAAGCTCAGCCAGCAGATACCTGGGTGCACAGACGTTTCTAATAAGACCTGGCACACGTTTCCTTCCCTCAGAAAGAGGAGGTCCAGCTCTCAGTGCCAGCCCTCACACCCCCAGCGTCTGCAAGCTGAGACGGCTGGGTCGTGGCAGCCGCCCTGTGGGTCTGTGCATGAACACGGTTCCCCAGTCAAGTCCTGTGTCTGCCCCCACTTTGCGCTGTCATGTAGCTCGGACTCAAGGTTGGAGAATCTTCTTTAAGTTATTATTACTTTAGGGTTCCAGCAAACAAAGCTCTCCATGGCAGCGCACTTCTTGCCTGGCTGAGACTCGCTCAATCAGGGACAGTCACTAGAAGAGGGGCCTGTCGATCCTCAAGTGTTTAAAATGCTCTTCTGAGGGATCCCTGGGTGACTCAATGGTTGAGTGTCTACCTTTGGCTCAGGGCACGATCCCGGGGTCCTGGGAAGGAGTCCCACATCGGGCTCCCTGCAGGGAGCCTGCTTCTCCCTCTGCCTGGTGTCTCTGCCTCTCTGTCTCTCATGGATAAATAAATAAAACCTTTGTAAAACATAAATGCTGCTCGTTCTCTGTGGTCGTTGTAAATGGCTCAGCAGGCGCCTGAGCAAAACGGGCTTCTTGTGGCAAGACGCTGCCACCCAATGTCCTTCTGGCTCCCTGTTGTAGAGGGTCTGCGGAGGAAAGTGTGGGCCCCCCCTCCAAAGACCTTCATGCTACAAGGCAAATGGGAGCCAGGAGGATGGACGTGGGTCAAGGAGGGAGGCACTCAAACACCCATGCCATGCCGCAGCCCCTTGGAGGGGGTGCATGCCACCAGCTACATCAGCAGTCCCCGCGTCCACAGCCGATGCCACAGGGCGATGTCCCCCGGAGCCGAGCAGCAGCCATGCAGTCCCTGTGAGCCCGGGCTGCCATTAAGCAGCACACAGGGCAGCCCCTAGCACACACACCCGTTCCCTCCAGCTCTGGAGGTGGCCAGTGGGGTTCAGGGCACCGGCTGGGACGTGCTGGGTGAAGAGGATGCTGTTTTCTTCCTGGCTGGCAGGCACCCCATCCCCCCAACGTGGTGCAGAGACGGCTCTGGAGGCTCACGGGCCCCAACTCCAAACACCAACATGCAGGGGGTGCATTAGGGCTCCCACGTGTGGATTTGGGCGCATGGACACTTGGCCTGCAACCCAGGTGAACCAGCAGCACGCGATCAGGATCCGAGTCCTGGCTTTTCCATCTGACCAGGCCCCCCAGCCGCAGCAGCCCCCCCACGAAGCACACGTGGCCAGGAGGACACAGGCTGGTCCACGGCACGTTGGTACTTCTGTGTGCCAACAGCATGCATCCCAGAAGCTCTGCCCATGGCCAGCTCCGTGCCGCTGGCCCCGTGAGCCCTGCCCTGTCCTCCCCTCGGTGATAGCGGTTCACAGGCAGGACATTGGCCTTCCGGGAGCCCGGCCACTGGCCCCGCAGAGCCCTCGCTGCCGGCCCCCCAGGTTGCCTCAGGCCCCCTCTGCTAGGAGCACTGCCCAAGGAGTGGGTTCCGCAGCCTTACCAGGTGGTCGCAGGCTGGCTGGAACGCGTTGGTCCCACACACGTACAGGGCGCTGGCACTGAGCGGCTGCAGCACGCGGATGTAGTTGAGACATTCCGTCTGCAAAAGGGAGAGAAACGAGCATCAGCCGCCACAGGACGCCGCCCTCACGCACCGGGCACCTTCACATGCTCGCTCGGTCCTGTCTGGGCAGCAGGGTCAGGGCACAGACCCAGCCCCCCCGGACAAGCCTAACTCTGCAGCTGGACTGGGTGCTTGTGTGCCGGCAGCGTCCCCGGGGCAGCCGTCAGGGGCCGTGACATTTCACCTCCACCACCAATTCACACTCGGCGAAGATGCGCTGGCCTCAGACCCCCCTGGACACCCGCTGCCGGACAGATGCACTGACTCTCTTCAACACCCGGGACCGGCCTCGCGTGGCCAGAGCTGCAGAGGGGCCGGAGCGAGGCATCCCGCCTGCCCTCCCTGTGCAGGGGACTGCACAGGGGCCTGCCCAGTTCACGGGACTGGAAACAGCACTTCTCTGGTCTCCAGGGACAGGCCAGGCGAGGGAGGGGCCCGAGGCTGTCCCTGCAGGAGAAAACCAGATGCCACCAGAGAACACGCTATTTTAGGCTGAAATGTATGTACCGGGATTATATGTGTTATACGGACTATTGTCTGAAATTATCTCTGCCCAGGGAAGGTTTTTTTCCCCCACCACAATTGTCTTTAATGGGTTGGCAGTAGCTCACCCTCCCCACGTGACCCGGGAGGGACTCTTGTCTCCGAGCAGCCTCCACGTCGGGCAGGGCGAGCACTCAGCCTAATTTAGCTTTCAGACAACTCCCTCCAACACTAGTTATTACCACATGAAGCCTGCATTTTCCCCATTTCCTAAAGGAACTTCGGATCTAGGGACGTCGGTGAACGTGTGCAACATCTTGCTAAAGAAAAAGTTCAGCAGGAGCATTTTTTTTTTATTTTGAATCCTTTTGAAATTAGCCAACCACTTTAATCTACCTGAACTCTGGTGTCCTGCCCAACTAGCAAGGAAGACGGGGCTCTTCCATTCAGGGTCTCGGACACAGGCCTGGCACCAGGTCAGGGCAGGGGGCCCAGGGAGTGATGGGGGGCACAGGTGGTGGGGGGCAGCACTGCCCACACAGCCAGCACACGGACCAGCCAAGTACCTCCTTGAGGAAGAGCGTTTCTCAAGGCACAGTTGCTGCCCCAGATGCAGAAACCCTACGGCCACCCCCCAAAGCTGGCAGGGGGCTGGACCCTGCACCACACATGTTCATCCCACGGGCACCAGGAAGGATTTTCTCTATCAGGTTTGGGGCCATCTGAATAAACGCACCTATGTTCACCTTTACAAAAGTGTGCCAGGCACCCACCATGTGGGGGCTCCTGGTTTGAGAGATGCCCCCCAATCGTTGGGGTGCAGGAGGGGGACCTGCAGGATGGGGGGCTTCTGAGACCGGAAATTACCTGTCTTGATTTGCCCTTTTCTGCACATTTTGCTTTTTTATCTTCCGAGACCTTCCAATACGCCTGTTGGGAGAAACGAGAGTCTGTTTCAGTGCATCTCCCCCATTCAAAAGGGGACGCTGGCGTCAAAACCCATGGCTCCCAAAGCACCTGGGGGCATGTGGGGCACACACATTCCCCCTGAGAGCAGACATGAGATTGTAAAGCCAGGCTCAGCCAGCGGATGCCTGAGCAACCGGGACTTTGAGAAGTTTCCACCAGGACCATTCCTCCGAAGCTGGCACGCCTGGCCCCCCAGATTTCCATCATTCCCCCCAGATTCCCATCACTCGCCGCAAAGCAGCAGCCAACGCTCACATGCTAACACTGAAGTCTTAGGTTATTTATCAGCAAGCTAAACCACAGGCATTTTCAAATGGCAAAGTTGGCTCCTTCATCCATTCAGACCGACTTGAGGGCAGTAAAAGGAAAAATAAAGTCCCGTGTTTCCCATGACCGCTGGGCTCCCTTCAGGTTTCTGTGCCCGCAGCCTTGGCAGCGAGGGAGCACCTGCTCCCCCCCACCACGCGTGTTCCCATGGCCTGTGCTCGCATGATCAAGGCCGACCGGCTGTGGAGCCTCTGCCCCCTGCCCCGCACAGGACAAGAGGCCATAGGCCACCCCACAAAGGGCTCCCCAACTCCTGCCTCACCTCCAGGATGCCCCATCTCCCCGTGTGATGACCCCATGACCAACGCTCAGAGAATCAAAGCCAGCTATTGGGGGCTCAGGGGTCAGGGAGCACATGGGGGCAAATCCCCGTGGATGCTGCCCTACCCTAAATGTCCTCCACGGACTGGCTTCCCACAGGGGAGCAGCACAGCCCTTGACAACCACACGGCCCGTTTCCAGAGAAACCCAAGTCCTCATCAGAATGACGTACCAAGGCAAATGGCCACTTGTCTCGGAAAGTAAAAAAAAAACGATTTCATCTCCATCCACATAAAATGCATAAGGACACGGGAACATGAACACTGATGGGCCCCCCTGGTCTCCGAGGGGACCCCTCCCTCACCCCGAGGGAACGCAGGATGCACAGAAAGAGCCGTGTGGGCTCCAACCACACACCCAGAGGTCGGCACAGCCCCATTCTTTTTTTAAATTATTTTTTTGAAGATTTTATTTATTCATGAGAGACACAGAGAGAGAGGCAGAGACACAGGCAGAGGGAGAAGCAGGATCCACGCAGGGAGCCCGACGTGGGACTCGATCCCAGGACCCCAGGATCACACCCTGAGCCGAAGGCAGGCTGAGCCACCCAGGCTGCCCACCCCGTTCTTTTCAGAGGCCGACGGCCAGCATCTGGGTTATCGGTTATCAGTCAGGCAGAAATAAACCCGATGATACCAGACTCGGGAGCCGACGGCAGAACAAAGCACAGACGTCTGGGGCGGAGAACGCATAAGACCAGCTCGGCCCTGCTCAGTTCCAGAGAGCAAGAAGCCAACCCCAGCCACCGACTTGAGCCTAGGACCTATGGTTATGGAGAGGCTGCCATCAGCCAGGGACAGTCTGAGCAGCAGGTCCCGCTCGGGCCACCACGGAGCAAGGCCCTGCTGATGTGCTCAAATTCACGACTCCAAGATTGTTCCGAAAATCCAAATAACCAAAATGCCACTACCTCCCCCTTGGGAGAGATGTAGGGCGTAGGGCGTGAAAAACAGGCAAACAGAGGCCAGGATTTCAGGTGCTGTTCCAGCCATGTCTAAAGGAACGGATCCTGGGGACATGAACGTCCCCTTTGGTGACAACTTCCTGCTCCTGGACAGGGAAGGAGAGGCTGGGCCGGGCAGTCCCTGGACGGGGTCCATGATGCACCTGCATCTCTGCACCAGGGGCGGGGAGGGGGGCCCTGCCTTGGAGGATGGGCCTGCCCAGAACGCAGGAGGTGGCTTTCCCAGCGAGAGGCTGGGGACACCTGATGGGCAGAGCGGCTGACCCCAAGAACAGCCTGATCTCAACCACATTCAGACGTCATTTATGATGGTTTCTGGAATCTGAACTATTCTGATAACATTTTTGGGCTGTGATTGTGGTATTTTGCTTATTTTGACAAAAAAGAATCATTTTCTTTAGGAAGGAGACACCCAGGGAACCCCTTATGGATGAAGCATGGGTCTGGGGTTGGATTTGAAGCCTCCCGAGGGACCAGAGCACGAGGACATGGGTGCAGGAAGGTGACTCCGGGCTATAGGAGCTGAGGGGGGGACAGGCCTCATCGACATCACTTCTACTCCTGCATGGGCTTGAGATTGTCCGTGACGAAGAGTTCACAACCCCACGAGGAAAGGAGGCCCCTGGGTGAGTGGCTGGCCTGGGACGACGGAGGCTGCCCCGGTGCACCCCAGGACGGGCTGCTCACAGGCGGGCGGGAGGCTGCTCGCAGGCATGCAGAATACTGTGGGCCGGCCACAGGGTGAGCAGCCTCATGGCCAGTGAGGGGCCTCACACCCTAGGAGGGGCCCAAGTGCAGGCTCAAGAAGAAAACCCCAGAAGGTCTGTGGCCCACACGGCAGTAGAGCGGAGCCCGTGCCATACCTCGTGCTGCTTCTCGGAGACGTTGAGTGCGCTCAGGGCAAACACGGCCTCCCGGGCACCCACGTACAGGGTGCTCTTGTCCTCACTTAGCAGCAACACCGAGTAGTTGAAGATGCCAGGCTCGTGAAACTTCTCCAGCTGCACCTCTGGGGATAAGGGAGAAGGTGAGGCCCTTCTGAACTGGGATGCACCGAGCACCCTGCCTGGCTTCAGCACACCGTCAGGTCACCAGGGCCCAGCGTGGACCCACTGCCACGAGGCCAGCCCCCGGCCTAAGATGGCCATGAAGAGCAGAGGACCCAGCAAGGCCCAAGCCACTGTGGTTAACCAGTGCTGTGGCCCAACATCCCTTCCTACTCCTTCCAGCCCAGCTGATTACAAACCCTGCACTCCGTGTGGCCTCCCAGGGGTGTGGCCTCCCAGAAGCATGACCTCCAAGCACATGACCTCCCAGGAGTGTGACCTACAAGGAGCATGACCTCCCAGCAGTGTGGCCTCCAAGCACGTGACCCCCCAAGAGAAGGACCTTTCAGGATTGTGACCTCCCTGGAGCGGGACCTCCCAGGAGTATGGCCTCTAAGCACATGACCTCTAGGCCCATGACCTCCCAGGAGCGTGGCCTCTAAACTCGTGACTTCCCAGGATTGTGACCTCCGAGGAGCATGACCTCTAGGCTTGTGGCCTCCCAGGAATGTGACCTCTGAGGAGCATGACCTCTTGACCTCCCAGGAGACCACCGGAGCCTGCACGCCTCAGGCTGCTGACTGCTGTGCTTGCATACTCTGGTATGTGTGTTTGATCATAACACAGATGAACTGTATAAAAAATAGAACTAAGCTTTCCTTATTCAGTGAAAAAAAATGATTTAGCTCAAAACCTTAAAAAAAATATTTTGGTAAATATGTCCCTTAACCTGAGTATTTTTCAGGGACAAGCACCACCAACTTATAAAACAGAGAAACGAGGGATGCCTCCTCTCTTACGAGGTCATGGTGCCGATATGCAGGAACACGAGGCACGGGCAATGGGCAGTACGTAAGCGCGCTCGCTGTGGCCCGGCCCCCGTGGAGGAGTCTGAACCCGGGTTTCCTTGGCCTGCCATCCTGCTCTCCTGATCTTCCAGGGCTGGACACAGACGTGCGGACGCAGGCTCCCAGGCACACGGCCTGGGGCTCCGCACGACACGGCTGGGCCCTGCGAGCCCTTGCTGCACTGAGCCCGAGGGACCTGGGGTCTCAGGACGCGGCTCCTGAGAGGGAGATGGAGCAGATGAGAGCAGCTGGTTGGACGCTCGGCCACCCGTCACTCAAGGCCCTTGGAGTGGCGTTCACTGAGGTTCGGGCCTGGGCCACGTGCACACTCCCTCGGGCGCACGACGGGGAAGCATCCTTCCTGGGGCCCCTGCACCAGCTGGGCATGTGCACCCCGGGGCCGAGGCTCTTCCCCTGCTGCAGGTGCACAGAACCCCCTCCCCCCAGACCCAGCACAGCCCCCGCTGCCCGCAAGTCCTCCAGGGAAGGGCCAGCCCTCACCTCTGTGCTCCCAGGTGATCCTGGGGACCGGTGCGAATGCCACCGTCATCCCAAATGCCATGGCCAGGGCAGCAAGCAGCCCGCCGATGGGGGCGCACATTCTCACGCGCAGGCGCCACGGGGGGGACTCCGGTAGTGAAGGCTCGTGGGCAGGGAGCCCGTGGTGGGGGTGACAGCCAATGCTGCTCAGAGCCAGGGGGCCACGACCCGCAGCACGGCCCGGAGCAGGTGGATGGTGTGAATGCTGAGGACCCGCATCTCCCAGGCACTGGGTGAGGTCCCCGCCGCAGATGTCGAGGGCCACCCGGTTCTTCAATGGTGCGCTTCTCTGTGGCCTCACGAAGAAATTCTGGAAGCAAGGGAGAAGGAAGGTCACAGGTCAGGATGCACAGAGGAGCACCTGCTGGGTATATCTCCCTGGGCCCCTGGCTTGCTCTGTGCTGGGGCAGGGTGGTGGGGACGCCACCCCAGGGCAACACTGTGTCCCAGTCACCCAGGGGCAGAGCTCCAGGACAGATGGGGGCCGGACCTGGACAACCACCCCCCCTGGCTGCTCAGCGTCCCCCCAGCATGGACGCTCATGGTCAGCTTGCAACGTGATGCAAATGCCTGAACCAGGGGACAGGATCCCCCCAACCCTGGCTTCCCAGCTCCATAGGCCTCGTCAGCAGGTCAGCCAGGGCCCAAGAGCAGGAGCAGCAGGTAGAGGCTAAGCTGGGGCACGTGTGCATGTGAGAACACGCACACACGAACACATGCACACACATGCATGTGCACACATATGCACGTACACATGCACCTGCAGGCAGACACGCACACGTACACATATATACACGTGCACACACACTAAGTACATGCATACATGCACACACATATGCACGCCTACGCACACACACAAGTGACCTCGCCATGCAGGCTGGCTGACCTCCTGCAGCAGACACGGCCACCCCCACGGCCCTGCTCCCGCAGTCCCACCTGGGATGTCCCCATGGAGTGGCCGTGGGCTCACAAGGGTCCCTGGGTAGCAGGACAGAGGCTGTGGGCTGGGGTCCCCAGGTCTCCCGGCACCCACGCTCTGCCCCATGTGCCGTGTACGAGGCGGCCTGTGGTGAGGGGCAGCTCAGCCTCACTGCAGGTTGCTGAGGCGGGGCTGTCCCTGACCTGGATCCCCACCGGAACCCCAGCGGGACTGTGACCAGGATTCCTGTGGGCTTCTCCCAAACAGCTGTGGGAGCAGAGATGGGACCCTTGCCTATCCAGCAGGGGGGTGCAGGTATGTCACAGCAGGACCCTGTGCTTTCCCGCCCTCCCCCAGGGGTCCTGGCACGGTGTCCACTCGCAGCCCCCCAGCCCAGGTTCCTGCTTCTGGGAGCCAGTGGAACAGTCTGTCCTCTCAGCCCAGGGCAGGCCCTGCTCACCCCCTTGTCTTCCTTTCATCCTGCCTGTGGGTCCCTCTGTCCAGCCAAGCCCTGGGCCCCCTCTGGAGCCTTCCTCTTACCCCAAGCATCACCACCAGCCCCCTGAACTTCACTGGCCCTCAGGGATGTCTGTGGACACCCAGTCCCCCGAACAGTTCCCTGCTGCTTAGCGCTCCCACAGGGCCCCCAAACCTACCATACACCAGCTCCTGCTGTGCCTTAGCACCTCCAGCCCAACCAAACCTCCCGAGAAGGTTTTAGGAGACATTTTGGCCACCGCCTCCAGGAAGCCCTCCTGGGCTGCCTCATCTGGCCCAGGAGGCCACCCTGTCTGGCCCCTGGAATCCTCGCCCGAGCCCTAAACCTAGCACCCCACATGGCTGGCCCCCACCACCACATGGATCACACGGGGTGCTATAGCGCACCTCTGCCTCTCGTATGTACACGGGGCACCAGGATGGCCGCCCCCCTCCAAAGGAAGGGGCTCGTGAGGCCCTGTGGGGAGGGCACGGTGGGGCCTCAGCGGCTCGCCCTCCTGCCAGGCCAGGTTCTGTCCTCCCGGCACCCGTCCTCTCCCCAAGGCCGCATCAGGCCCTGCAGCCGGGGCGCCTGCTGGCTCCCGCTCCTGGGGTGGCATGTCCTGTGCAGACACCCGCCCGCCCCCCGACGGCCAGACAGGCACCCTTCTCAGGGACTACTGAGCCGCGGGGTCTCTGTCCCGGCTACTTGAGTCCATGTGGCAGCGCGACAGCAGCCCCGAGGGCGCTGGGCTCCCTGCCATCCTGCCCCCAGCTGGGGGCGAGGCTCCTCCCTGTGCGGGTCCCCTGTGACCCTGCGTGCAGCAGCACCCAGGGAGCCCCAACAGTTGGGGAACCGGGGGACACTGAGGCCCCGGGAAGAGCGGCCTATGTGGGCGACGTGGACCTCCACCCCCCGGGGCCGTCCCCACCATGCCCACCCACACCTGAGCCTCCACAGCCGCCTCCCCTTCACCCTGTTCCATGCCTACTGCCTGTCCCAGCATCCGCGTCCCTTCTTGCTTACTGACAGGGTCTCAGTTTCCCTGGGGACACCAGTGCGCCCAGCTCACTACAACTCCCAGCTTCCCCGGAGGCAGCAGAGGCTGAAGAACTGGGAAGGGAAGGTATCAGGTGCAAATCCCAGGAAAGCTGACTCGGTTAGCGTTGGCAGTCTTGCCTCCAGTCTTTCCTCCATTTGGTGCCTGGAACTTGAACTGGACGGCTGGAGCTCTGGGCGCCACCTCGCAAACATGAAGACCAGGGTCTCCTTCTAGGAACAGCCAAGTGGAAATCCACTGGGGACCTCACACCTTCCCTCTGCCTGCCTCCAGACCTGCTAATAAGCCAGTAGTCTCTTCAAGTTACCGTTTTCCAGGTTTTTATTACCAGCAGTTGGATAGAATTCCAAACAGATACCTCCCAGAATACACTTACTAACCAGCAGCAGCCGGCAGAGTAGGGTTTTCATCGTGGGGATGGGGTACATGGGAACCCTGTGCTTTATGCTCTGTTTCCTCATGAATCTAAAACTGTTCAGAAGAATAGAGTTTACTAAAAAAAAAAAAACCACCCCAGCTCAGAGCGGTGCCTCCCAATCACAAGAGGTGCACGTGTGAGGTTTTGTGTGAGTGTGCCCACTGCCCAGGGCACCTCTGGCTGCAGATTCGAGGCCCACTGGCATGTGTCATCCCTGCCACCCCCAAATACCAACACAGAGCCAGAGTCCGGTTTACAAGGGCCCAGGGGAAGCGCTGACTCCCGGCTGGGTCCCCAACACAGGTCACTCTGGGAGCAGTCAGGTGAGGACCCAGACACTGCTGATGGCAGAAGCCATGTACCACCTGGAGCCCACACAGAGGTTCAGCCCTGCTGTCCTAAAGCCCAATCCTGTGATGCTCAAGGGCATAAACCATCAGGACAAAAATGGGGAGAGCACCATAGCCCATGGGAATGTGACCGCGCTGCGGAACCGGAACACAAACAGGTGAGGGTCACGGGCACTGTGTGGGCTCAGCCCCAGCCACCAGGCCTCCAAGAGCCACGGCAGGGTGGGGGACGTGCCCTGCTTTGTGCCATATGCACATTTTTGGGGGTGTCAGAGGTGCCTTCAAGCTCCTGACACGAAGTCACTGAACACAGAGACAACACAAGATGCACGGGGCACAGTGCCCACCCTCCGCCCCACACGTGGAGGCGGGTGGCCGCTGGGGCGCATCAGTGACAGTAACAGCACAGCCAGGGGGAAAACACACAGCAAAAGCAGCGAGGTCTTTACTGTCAACGCCGCGCATAGCGCATCGCGCATCGAAGCCTGTGTCGCGCAGTCTGATACCATCTGTGCCCCCCCCACCAGCGCTGGCACCCCCTGGCTGGGAGTCCCCAGGCTCCGTGGACCACACAGAGCCGCGGCCGGAGCCCAGGATGCCGGAGGAAAACCACCCCAGGAAATGAAGGTGAACTCAGAAATTAAAATTCTGACGACAGGAACAGAACGTCCAGGGGAAGGACGAGAAGATAAAACTGAGGCGGCTTCATCAAGGTGGCGCAGATAAGGACCAGGCGGGGGGAGGCCCAGGAGCAGCTGGCAGGAGCTCCGGAGGCGGGAGGAGGAGACGTGGACAATGAGAGGGCGATGATAAGAGAAGGTCCCGAACGGGAGGATACGCGTTTACGGAACGGGAGCCCCTGGCGGCGTGATGAAGGAAAGGAGACCACCATTCCCAGTGCATGGTGGTGACATCTGAGACCCTTGGGGACAAAGGTGGGGTGAGGGGTCCTGGCAGCTTCCAGGGGGACAGAGCCTTGCAGAATGACCTTTTGAAGGAGCAGGACGCCCTGAACATCCTGGAGGAGGCTTCCCCCCCCGCCCCCCCAGAATCCCGCACAGTACCCAACTGTCAACACGGAGGGTACATGGAACCCGTCTCACACCAGGGCTCTCAAAGCTCTTACCCCACAGCGGCCTTTCTCAGAAAGCTCCTGAAGGATCTGCTCCGGCAAAACAAGGGAGCTACTTGGCCTGTCTCTTCCCAAGAAGGAAGAACAGCCGGGAGCAGAAGACCCCGTGTGACGAGGAGTGGGGCCGAGGGCACAGGGACTTTGTTGTGGAGGGGACAGGGCGGGGAGGCAGAGAACCCCGTTGCCATCTTCCACAGCAACACCATGCCCCACCCCCAGCCTCGGCACAAGCTGCCTGTCCTCCAGAATATTCCTGTGCTGGCCCTGGCAGCTGGGCCTCGCCCACAGCGACACTGGCTCCAGGGCCACTCCTGGCCGGATGCCTACCCTCCCTCCTATTGCTTCTGGCCTCATCCTCTTCATTCCATGGAAGGCCTTGATTGTGCCCGTGGCCCTGGCCCCTTCTGTGGTGGGTGGGGCCGGGTAGATGCACACCCCAGTTAGGAGACCACGGCTGGGGTTGGGGGGGGCTGGAGACAGGATGCTTCACAATAGAACACTCTGGGCGGGCCACCCCAGGATGACAGGTGCAATGGCCAGAGCTCCAGCAGGGGCTGTGCAGCCTGACAAACGCACAGGTGAGCTGGGGTGGCACCGTGCACACCTAGGGAGCTGCACACGGGCTACTGCACACATAGGTTGCTGCACACGTGGCTTGCTCAAATCGGTCCACGTGAGAAGAGGGGGAATTCTTAACTGCCCTTCACCTTGGACCCACCCAGACTCGGCCACTCAGGAGCCGGGTGGCCACCTGCTCCTGGCCACCCCAGGTCACCCAGCAGACGTGCTCCTTGTGCTGCAGCACACACGAGCTTCCTGAGCGTCTTTAAAAAATCCACAGGAACAACAAAGGGGAGAGGGGCCACGTTCCCCAGACGGCTTTTGGGGGGGGCAGCAGTGGGTGCTTCATGTCCTGCAGGACACCGGAAGGGCTTCGTGTTCTCTTTTCCAATAAGCATGTGGTGTCACATAGAACTGAAGCCCCACCAAGCAGAGCACATGCCCCGTGCACGTGGACCTGCGGCCACCAAGTGCTCCTACAGGAATCCGGCTCTGGAATTCTGGGATGGGGGACATGCAGCATGAGGGACCATGGCATAAATGCTAAAATGGAAACAAGTGGATCATGCCAGTTGCCTTGGCTTTCCCAGGCGCTTCTGAGCAGCAGGAGCCTGTCACCGGGAGCCAAGTGACAGGTGTGCATTGTGTGCCCCCAGTAGAGAAGTGTCACACAGAACCAGGAGCCCTTCAGGGAGGCAGGGTTCCACCGCACAGGCCCCAGTACCTACATGGCCATGCGCTAGCTCATGAGGAGTGCACGACCCCACTCTGGGCGTTGAGAGACTGGAGGGAGGGGGCTCGGAGCCCCTCGCTCAGGCTGTCAGTGCCGGTCACCCACCAGCCTTCCCCCCGGTGCCTCTGAACCAAGTCAGGGACTGCAGTGGAGAAGACAGCAGCCAGAGAGGGTTCTGTTCAGGAAACTGCCCCCACAGCTGCAGGTGCATGCACACATGTGTGCAACGTGGACATGTAAGTGCAAGAACCCACGTGCATATAATGCACACAGTTGTATGTGTGCATGTGAACTGCACACCTGTGTGCATGCATGTACACATGCACCTGTGTACCTCTGTGCACCTGTGTGCGTCCACATGTGCATGCCTGTACGTGTGCATGCACGTGAACACACGTGTGTGGTGTGTGCACTCTGCTGCAGGAGGACAGTCTTGACCTGCCATTCTGTTCTTAGATGTGACTGCTGACTGCTGCGGGAACCGAGGACCACGAGGCTCCCTGGGACTGGCTTCCCCTCCTGGGACCAACTGCCTGTGGCCCTGGGTGGGGGTGGGAGGGTCACAGAGGGACCACAAAGGGGCCACCTCTCCCTGCCCCCTGAAGATCTCAGGGCCACACTGACCAGCAGGATGTGAAGCCAACGTTCAGAGCACTCTTGCCGGCACCCACGAGTCTGTGGAAGGGCTTTCTGGTGACAGCTGTGCATGGGGCCCATGGGGCCCAAGGGGCCTGGTCCACACACACGGGGTGGGTGAAGCCCCGCTCCCCTCAACCCTGTAGCCTGGCCAGCAGAGGACATGCACCTACCCACGGCTTCCCCACGCCTACCCTTACCCCCAAGGCTGACCCTCCCCACCCCTCCACCTCTGTCCCCAAGGATGACCACCCCCCATGCCCACCCCTGCCCCCAGGCTGGCCCACAGCACTCTTGTCCTCCGACTGACCCCCACCCCCTGCCCCCAGCTTCCAGTCCTGGGCTCCCTTCCCCCTCATTGGCTGTGGGACCAATGCATTACCACCTCGCAGAGAAGCCCCTGTCCTCTTGGCTCAGGATGGGTTCAGGAACCAGATGTCACCCCAGAGGCTGCTGAGTGAGGTGACCCCAGTGATACCAGGGGCGAGGGGTGGACCGAAATGCCACAGACATGGGTGTTTGGTCCCCAGAGGCAAGGAAGGCACCCTCAGGTAAAAGACACGGGACAGCTGTGCTTTGCCTGGAGCCCGCCGCGGTCCTGAATCCCCTGGCCTATGGGGCCGACACCTGTGTCAGCAGCTCCCAGGGCACCAAGCTCCACTCACAGGGAAACGCAAACTACGATATGACAGCCATTTACCTGCAGCCAGGCTGAGAGAAGCTGCGGGAGGGCAGGGCAGGGGGCTTCCGCAGCCGAGCCTCACTTCCTACCCCCAGGGACCCGGGAGGGCCTGCAGTCCATTGAGGACACAGGTACAACCGGGGTGGGGGTGGGGGCGCCTGTCAGGGTCTGCCCCGTGAGGTCAGCAGCAGGTGGGACGGCCCCCGCTGTGTCCAGGTAGCAGGTGCCACCTGTCCCCCAGCCCTGACAAGGACCTAAACACATATGGACACAACACACATCCAACCATTAACAGTGGTAACCTCAGGGGAGGGAGGCCCGGGGCCAGGGGCCCCGCTGCTCATGTTGGCTTCATACACAGTGAGCGCCACATCTATACCACTCTGCAGTTACTGCTGCACCTGCCTGGTAGGTGCCTGGGCATCCCCCCAAAATTTTTTAATGTAATCAACAGGGACACCTGGGTGGCTCCATGGTGGAACCTCTGCCTTTGGCTCAGGGCGTGATCCCGGGGTCCCTGGATCGAGTCCCACATCGGGCTCCCTGTTCAGCCGAGAGTCTGATCCCTCCGCTCCTGCTTGTGCTGTCTCAGTCACTATATCTCTATCTCTTTCAAATAAAATCTTTAAAAAAATTAAAATAAAGAGATAACACAATCGAAAATACATGACCTGGGGGGAAAATACTTGTCAGCCAAGCGCCAGGGCTTAGAGTTCCTGCTCTGCGCAGCCACCTACCAAAGCAGCCCCTGGCCCAACACGGCTGGTGATTCAGTGCACACGCGTGGGCCCAGACGAACACACGGAAAGTGCTAAGTGCCCCTAGAGGTGAAGCCGTGCTCACTAACGGTGCCCCAGCATACCGGCCCAGCAGGTCCCGGGGAACACGGGGCGGCAGGGCTGCTGGAGAGCGGCCAGAGCGGGGCAGGAGGACGGGAGGTGTGGGCTTTCCTTCTGCTTTTACATTCAATTCATTCTTTTTCCCCTCAAGCTGGAACTACATGGTTGAAATGAAGACGAACCACAAAATGACCCCAAATCTGGGGCGTGGTGACACGGAGCACCCTCCCTGCAATCACACCACTGACAAGGCCCCTGCGCCCCCAGAAGAGATGATGGAGCTTTGCAATTGTCCAGGGGAGAGAGCTGAGAAGGAAGCAGGGAGCAGGAGGATGAGGGTGGGTGCGGAGAGACGGGCTGTGCGCTGGGCCAGGTGCCCGGCACCAAGGCGGACAGGCGCCCTGCAGAGCGTGTCCTGACCTCCCTCAACTCCAACCCAAGCACACAGGGAGCTGGGACCAGTGTCCCCGGGCCCCCACCAAAGCTTCTACCAGGACTCGGCCCTGCCTCAAGGGGACACAGATGGGGAGGCCGTGCGTTTTTACCTGGATCTTCTCCTTCCAGGACCTGCCCCCTGTTGTTCCCAGGACGGTGTCCTCAGAAGCCTGGGCTCTGAAAGTGACAGGAAAGGAGAACGTTTCAACATCGAAATCCTCTGTCCACGGCAGCTGAGCATCCCTTCTGGACACAACCAGAAGAAAGTCTCAGCAATTTCTTCTATAACCTCCGGGGCCCCAGGCAGGCCGGCCCTGGCCCAGGATGGGTGAGGCCTTTGCGCACTTGTGCAAACGGGAGGAAGGAGGGTGTGTGCAATCGTGCCCAGAAAGGAAGTGCAACCTGGCCGGTCCCCAAGCACTGACCGCAGCCACTTCCCTGCAGGATGAGCCAATCAAACACGGCCTCTGGGGCTGGTCTGCCGCTTGTGGACACAGCATTGAGCACCCTGTGAGCTTCAGATCCACAAAGAAACCTCCCTGAAACCCGGCCTGCAGGGTGCGGCCCTCGCCATGGGCAGCCCGGTCCAGGATGGGCAGGGTATCACAGAGGCCCAGAGTGGCTGGCGGCCCCAGTGGGCCTCAGGCCGGATGCACAAGGGGGTCGAGGACACTGGTACCAGACCCTCGAGGGCTCGCAACGATCCAGCATGGGCCTGAAACCTCACAATCAAACACTTGCATTTTTTTCTGCGGTTGCAATATTTTGGTTTCTTTTTGTTTGAAGAACTGCTACAATTCTTGCCGGTCTTCTGAAGATAGCTGAGAAGTGGAAAGTGCTCCCCAGAAGCACTGCCGATGCCCCATCCCTCCCACAGCTTCTGCGGAGTTGGGGGCCAGCTGCGCCCACTCCAACGCGTCCACCTGTGACGCACGACTTCCAGGCAGGGTCCCCCGGGGAAGCCTTGCCGCCCGAGACACATCCCGTGAACCCTGAGCAAATGAGACCAGCCCCCCGTCCAGTACTGGTCTCATGGTGGCAGGCTTGCAGAGGCCAAGCTGGGTCTTTCTGATTCTGGGTTGGCTCCTGCTGACGGCCAACTGACAAGCAAAAATATCTTCACCCATGAGCCAGCAGAAGCATCGCCAGACAAGGCCGCACCCTCGCAGCTCCCAGAACCCACGCCTGCTGTCTAAAAGCCAGGGCAGGTGCTGCCACAAGGAATGGACAGGTGACACGCAAACCCGATGGCACAGGCCGGCAGCGCACAGTGGCCACCCAGACACTCCCAAAAACACGGGGGTAGGGGGGGGAAGCAGTTCACACATAGCAAGAGGTTCAGATAAACAACATGAATGCTGAGAATTTTAAAACTGAAAAACGTCTCTCTTCTGTTAGTTCAGTAAGCCTCCGTCACTTCCACAAGTACAAGCCCAGAGCTGCTCGTTTGGGGGCCAGACGAGGCGGGCGTCGCATTTCCCCCATCTCACAGTGCCCGACGCCACTGCCAGGTCGGGATGCCTGTATGTGGGTCTGTACCGTGGACCCCCTCACGCACCTGGGCGTGGCAACCTCGCCTTCTAACCTCGACCTAGGTCTGCACACCCAGCTTCCCTCCACTCAGCAGCTCCTAACCTGTGGTTTCGGAGCAAAACCAGACACTTCCGGCCCCACCAACGACCAGGCCCCGGCCCCAGCCCCGGCCATCTGTGCCCTCTTACCACGCCAGTCCTTCCTTGTTTCTCAACAGAAAAACCCATGTACTGTAATGAGGGACCACCACCCCAAAGACGTGCCCGTGACAGACTCGTGCATTTCCTCGAGCCACGCATGCATACCCACTTGTAATGCACATAAAAAGAATCCGAGCCTCCTTTTGCGAGGTAAAAGCACAAAATTAATCAGAAGGGAGAGAGTGTTTCCTCTCCTGCGTGAGGGACTTGGCCTTTCCCATCCCCCCTCCCCAGGGTGCCGGTGAGTGTGGGAGCCCCAAGGCCCATGCCCTGGGCAGCTGTCCAGTGACCGCTCCAGCCACAGCACGGAGGGAAGGCAAAGCAGCTCTTGCACACACCCTACCCATGTTCTGCAATTGTGACATCACCCCCCCAAGCTCCTTACCCTTAGCAGGGGTCTGCACATCTAAGCAAGATGCTACAGTCCCGCCTCTGAGAAGGGCAGCCATGGGACCAGCTGGCTATGAGACACCGCAAGGAAGGCGCAGAGGCAGTGTCCACGTGCCCCGGCCAACGTGTGCCAAGGGCTCCTGACGCAGCAGTTGTCCACCAGCAATTCAGCTGGATACACCCCACGTACGAGAGACGCCCAAGTAGGAGGCTATTCCACAGGACAACTCTGGAGACATCTCACACACAGACACGCACACACACCGTACGTGCACAAATCAGCTTGTATATAAATGTGTTGTGTCCGTGGGATGGAACAGTATGCAGCTGCTAAAAGGAATAAAGTGGCTAAAGGAGCCTTTTTGCGCTCCTGGTGGGAGTGTAGATTGGCGTGCTCATGGTACGGAGCATCCTCAAAAAAATTAACAGAACTACTATATGACCCAGTAATTCTACCACGGGGCGTTTACCCAAGGAAAACTAAAAACAGTAATCTGAAAAGACACACACGCTCTTGTGCTCGCTGCAGCATCACTGGCAACGGCGAAGATATGGAAGCAGCCCAAGCGTCGTTCCATAGACGAGTGGATTAAGGTGTGGTGGGCACACGCACTGGAATGTTACTCAGCCACCAAAGTGAACAACATGGGACGCCTGGGTGGCTCAGTGGTTGAGCGTCTGCCTTCGGCTCAGGGCGTGACCCCGGGGTCCTGGGATCGAGTCCCGCATGGGACTCCCCACAGGGAGCCTGCTTCTGCCTCTGCCTGCGTCTCTGCCTCTCTCTCTGTGTCCCTCATGAATAAATAAAATATTTAAAAACAAAAAAACAAAAAGAACACGTTACCACTCATGATGACATGGAAGGACCTAGAGAGTGTAAGTCACTCAGACAAGGATCAACACTATATCTTGGTTACACTGGTATCTAAATGAAACCAATGAACAAACGGAAAACCAGAGTCTTAAAGACAGAGCACAACCTGGGGTCACCAGCGGGGGTGGGCGGGCGATGGGTGAGACTGGTGACGGGAACAGAGAGGTACAAATGTCCGGCAACAACACAAGTCAGTGCGCGGGATGGAAAGTTCAGCGCAGGGAGCATCATCGCTGACACAGCCACGATGTCGCCCGGGGACCGACGGGGACACTCACTCTGCTGGGCACCTAGTAAGGCACAGACTCTGATGTCCGGTTGGTTCCGTTTGTGAGGCTGACGACATGGATTCTATTAAAGCACCAGTTCCCGAGAACAGCAGATAGTCTCTGCGTCGTTTGCCCACGTGTACGTCCTGTCGGACCCCCACTGAGGGACTGACACAGGAGGACGGTCCGGGGAGGGCCGGGGATCCCAGCCGGTCGGTGCCCTGGGGCGGCAGGGGCAGCTTGCTGCCGCACACGGACTTGGGGGGTGTCCCCCGGGCGCTGGCCGGAGCGGGGGCGGGCCCTCTGAGTGAACCGTGCCCTTCCCTGGGCTCTCCCGTGGGGGGCATCCGTGGGCCCCCGGCGCTCCCCCAGCACCTCTGATGGCCACTCGGTGTTCCAGGATTAAATAGGAGAAGGTGGCACCCTCAGACCTTTGCCAATTTCTGACTTAAAATTCATTTTTTTAAGTAGGCGCCGCATCTGACATGGGCCTTGAACGCAGGACCCTGAGACCAAGAGTCACGTGCTCTACTGACGAGCCCCCAGGCGCCCTTTAAAATTCATTTTTAAAGCCTGATTTTGGCCTCCAGCAGAGCTACCCAGAAGCTCCCGTACCCAGAGCCTGTCTGCGGAGGTGCCACGCGGGGGACACCGTGAAGCGGTCGGAAGGCCCGTGCCTTCGCCCCGGCGCGGCCAACAGCCCAGAGCACGCACGCACCGCCTGGCAGGCCGGGAAACGGCCGCCCCGGGACTTGGCGCGCTCGGCCCCTGCGGGCGCCGGCCACAGTCTCATCCGCAAAGGCGCGCGCTCTGTGCGATAAACCGCGGGGCGCTCTACCTCAGCGCCCTTACACTTCCCTCCAGCCCTAGCTGCCATTCAGCTCCTGGTGGTTGCTCCCCCTAAGGGGGGGAGGGGAGGGGGCCGGTAGTGAGGGTGCTGCTCTAGTGGCGGCTCCCAGGGCCAGGGATGCCACCTCCCACTGGAGGGACGGGGACAGGTCACTGCCCACCTCCAGCTCCTCCCCCAGCCCCTCCACCTCCCTCAGCCCCTCCACGACCCCCCAGCTCCTCCCTCAGCTCCTCCACCACCCCCAGCTCCTCCCTCAGCCCCTCCATGACCCCCAAGCTACTCCCTCAGCCCCTCCACGACCCCAGCTACTCCCTCAGCCCCTCCACCACCCCCAGCTACTCCCTCAGCCCCTCCACCACCCCCAGCTCCTCCCTCAGCTCCTCCACCACCCCCAGCTCCTCCCTCAGCCCCTCCATGACCCCCAAGCTACTCCCTCAGCCCCTCCACGACCCCCAGCTACTCCCTCAGCCCCTCCACGACCCCCAGCTCCTCCCTCAGCCCCTCCATGACCCCCAGCTACTCTCTCAGCTCCTCCACCACCCCAGCTCCTCCCTCAGCTCCTCCACCACCCCCAGCTACTCCCTCAGCCCCTCCATCACCCCCAGCTACTCCCTCAGCCCCTCCATCACCCCCAGCTACTCCCTCAGCCCCTCCATCATCCCCAGCTACTCCCTCAGCCCCTCCATCACCCCCAGCTACTCCCTCAGCCCCTCCACAGGCATTACAGTGTTATAGACAAGAGATCACTACCCTTATCCATGTCTAGCTCCCTGGGTGTACACGTCTGACTACAATGCAAGGCCTCTTTTTTTTCCTTTTTTTTCAATGCAAGGCCTCTGAAAGAACCCTTGGATTGTGCCAACAGACTTAGTCACCGAGGCCACAGCCCTGCTGCACCATCCGCGGGGGTACCACCGTGTGGCCCCCCACTACCCCCAGCTCCTAGTGAGGCAGGTTTTAGGCACCCCTGTCAAGAAGAAACAGACTCACAAAGGCAGTTATGAATCTGGAGTCTCCAGCAAAGCTGGGCATCCTCTGTCCCTCCCGTGTCCTGCATCCCC